CTATTTTGAGATACATTCAATGAGAAATACGCTCCAAGCCCCTAGAACGAATTAAAAAAAAAACATTACGCTCGTGATAAATCAAGTGGTAGTAAAGACTTTCATTAAGGTCGACACAGATTAAATGTCGATTTAAATATCAGATTAGTAGGGCATTAAACACTGAAGGCATCACGGGTGTTATAGGATAATAATGACTACAATACAGTAAGTTCAGTATATTTATATATATTGATAAGACTACATTTTTTTTCTAGCTTGAACGAATGGTGGAAACCGCACTTATTAGCTATATTTTTCTTCATATTTACTCTAAATAACATGATTCGAAAAACCATAAATTTTCCGCAAATCAATTCTTAGACGATCCGACCCTGCCAGTGGTATCAAAAAAATCGTCAGACCGTGGAAGTCACTTTATTCGAATGATATCACAAGGATGTTCACTTGAACAGTGGCTGCGTTCATTAGTCAAGTAGACTGCGACGTGTGCGGGCACTAGATTTTAACGTCGAACACTTGCCTCCAGTGGTATGGTCAACCGTTTCAAAAAAGGCCATGAAATAATAAGTATCTTTTGTTATTGTGCCTTTTCATTGTTGGCTTACTCGAAGATTCATGTGAAAGTTAGATTTCTGTTATTTAAATAATATGGAGAAGATACGGTACGATACAAAGATTAACATGTTACGGGGTTCATTAAAAAAAAGTAGCTTGGAGGAAGACGGAATACTTCTTATAAAGTTTGATTAAAGTAAAGTGTAACAATTGTTAAATGTGCTATGTAAAGATACATTTGAATTAGTTTCCATGTATTTGGAAACAAGAATTACCTACCCCAATTCGTAAATGTGAAAGTATCTCCCGATTTGTTACTCTAGATATTTATTATGCATATAAATAAATAAAATAAATAAATAGTCACATTATATACTTTTCATTTAAGTTTAAAAAAACGTGTTTTTGTACTATTTCGAATCCCGAGGAAAACTTACGTAATAAAATTTGTGTCTAAAACAGACCATTAACTAACGACTTTCACTAAGCTCGTATCGACGAGCCTAAGTACAAATAAATTGTGTACAAAATAAATGAAGGCTTTAATGTGACATTAGCGAAAAACAAAGACATTTAAAATTGTCAATTAATTATGGTTTTGAAGTAGAAAATTATTATTGGATCTATATAAGAATATTGTAAGAGCAGGTACGCTGTTGTCAATGAAAGTAAATTATTTAGAGGCCCCTATCCGGCAAAATGAGTGGTGAATACTACTACAACGAGGAACCCGTCAGTAAATATCACAAAGGTGAGTCAAAATCTAACCTTCTTAAGGTAAGAATCGGTGCTAGACTTAAAAACCTTTTTGTTTAATGCATTAGATAAAGAAAAACACAAACAGGAATAGATTTCCCAAATTATTCACAGCGAATTTTAAGTTGACTGAATGATTAAATACACAATACCTAATTTTTTTATGAAATATATACAAAATTTCTTCTGATCAAATTATTTTCATGTCCCATTTTTATTAACAAAGGGAGTTTATTTTAATCTTCAATTAAGTCAATGTGCTTTGTAGGTACCAAAATTGAGAAAATTCTTACATTTTGAAAAATTCTCATACAGTAACAACCACAACAATACTAGTTTACCATTTATAAAGGAACCCACATAGACTTTATGAAAGTTTGGACTCGGTCAAATTGGCTGACAAAAAATCTCCACTGCGGAGACTTTTGCTAAAACAAAACCAATAACTTGCCAGTAATTGAAGGCAGCAAATTTTTTTCAGAATAAAATTGTGTCAACCTTATTTAATCTGGATTTAGACCTAGACATATACGATTTTCTTCGTATTTTACGCCTGACACGCAACGATTTATATAATTTCACTCAGACATGAAAATAAAACCAAAATCACGGGGTAAATTACCAACAAGGACTGGTACCTCAGAACGGCTTAACCGCCTTTTAAATTTCCGTTGTTGCCGACTATTTTTAATTATCCTTAATCCTTGAATATTGTATTAACCCGACCGTAGGATTAGAATTACTGTAAGCATTCAGGATAGCCAACAGTGATAATGATTAATGCACTATTTAACTGTCAGTCGAAATAGACGCGATAAATCTTGTTTTCATGTCGGTTTCCGTTGCAATTAAATCGGCTTGAAATGTCATAACGTTTAAAAACAACAATCGCGGTAATTTATTGGAGGAATGCCACCAAGTCGTCATTTTCGACGTTAAAAAAACTGCGAATAGTAATATTTGTTACATAAACCAGAACAGCCAAGTAGGTACAAGAGTACGTAAAAATTTCTAATTCCAAAGAATAATGTAAATGGTGATAATTTGTCATTTGCAGTAATTAATTGATCTGTTTGTGTAACGCGATAATTCCTCACATAGCACACTGATATTTTCAAATCCCATTTTGCGTAATTATGTGTTAATTAATTGATAATAATTATTTTGTCGGCACTACATAACACCCATTATTTATATCAATTATGTAGAAAACGACCCCCCATTGATACGGCACTGTTAGTAGAATAGGGCACCTGCATGCTATTTAAATGGCATTTAAGTCAAGCAAGGAAACTAAATTTTTCTTATAGTCCGGTCAAATTAGTCATAAAAATAGTGGTCAAATAACGAAAATTCCGACAGAGCTAAATTTTGGTGGAGACCTTGGGTACACCATTAGAAATAAAGTATCAAAAGTCCCCACCGATCCCATGTGTGCTAAAAAAGTTATTCTGGGTCAAAGGTCAAAATTTGAGGTTTTTTGGATTTTTTTTTGAAACCGGTAAGTTTTATCAAAAAGTAGCTCTAATAAAAATTATAGATCTAAAAATTATCTACAAAAAAGGTTCTTATACTTTTTTTTCTAAAAACCACCATTCCTGAGATATCGCGATTCTAAAAGTTGAAAGTGTCACGTTTTACATGATATTCACATTATATGCCACGTATATACATAATCATTCACTTAATGCAAGTAAAAATGCCTATTTGTGTCTCTTATATGTGTATACTACTATTCTGAGAATATACACTCAAAAGAAACTCAGTCCCTTAGTCAAAATGACGCAGATGTCCTTAATTGAAACAGCAATAGAACAATTTAATGCAACAAATACAACTATTGTAGTTGGTGAAGATGTTGACTTATTAATACTACTTACTGCAAAGTACTCCAATTGATAAAATTATATACTTTTTAAAACCTGGAAAGGCTCAACAGCGAACAGAAATATATTCTTCAAAAAGTTTATCTGCTTATCCAAAATGCCAAAACCATATCTGATTTTTACATGCGATAATCGGCTGCGATACTACATCAGCAATGTTCAGAAGGGGTAAAACATCAGTATTAAAATTATTTGGAAAAAAAGATTTGATTGATTGCAGAAAGTGATTCTTCGCCTCAAACAATAATCACAAAAGGAATTCGCTTTCTCCTTGCTGTTAAGGAGCTCCAAAAAAAATTGATTGTATAGAAAAATATAGACATTTAACTTCTGTAAAAAAATACACGAAACAAGAGACAAGTACAACTATCTTGTCTTCCTCCAACATCGGCTTCTGCTAATCAACACTTGTATCGAGTATACTATCAAGTTCAGACATGGCTAGGCAATCAACTGAACCCAGAAGACTGGGGTTGGAAATTAACAGATAATACTTTGGAACCGATTCAAACTTTACTTCCACCTGCTCTGGAAAAACCCGTAAACACTATTTTTTGCAATTGCAAAAAAGATTGTAGTGCTAAATGTGGCTGTAGAAGAGTAGGGTTGCTGTGTTCTCCAGCGTGTACTAATTGCCAAAGCCAGTCTGGCTCAAATGTCCAATTGAATACAACAGACAAAGATTCATGTGATTTCGATGAAGAGACAGCTGATTCATCTTCATTTGAACAATTTATGAACATCCAGCAAGAAGAAGAGGAAGAAGAAGAAGAAATCGAAGAAGATATGACTGTTGAAGTCGACTTTGAAGAAAGAAATGAAGAAATCAGAACTACAGTTAAAGTCAATAACCAATATCAATATCAATAATCATCATACAGTTAAAAGAGTATTGTCCCTGAAAATTCCGTCATAACAGTTCATGGAGTAGGCCTACCGGGGAAAACACGTTAAAAAAACTCGTCAAAGTACACTACCTCACAGGTGGTGTGGAAATGTGTGCATATCATGTAGAATGTGACTCCTTCAACTATTAGAATCACGATATCTCAGGAACGGTGATTCTTAAAAAAAAATTATAAAGACCATTTTTGTAGATAATTTTAAGATCTATATTTTTTGTCAGGGTTACTTTTTTGATGAAACATACCGTTTTCGAAAAAAATCCAGAAAACCTCAAATTTTGACCTTTGACCCCGAATAACATTTTTAACACATCGATCGATGGGGACTTTTGACACTTTATTTCTAATGGTGTACCCAAAGGTCTCCACCAAAATTTAGCTCTGTCGTAATTTTCGTTATTTGAAATGTCTATTTTGACCGGGCTATAGATCTTGCTTATGTTTATTTCCAAAATTTTATGCTCATAAACAGACAATTACTCACCGTATTGTATGGAGGTATGTATTAGTGGCAACTTTTATATTTTTCTCTGTTTTTTTGCCACCCGTGGAAAACTAATTAAAGATATTTTAAAATTTGTTTAATACGCTGTTAATTTTATACGTCCACTGGATGAATATAAGATATTATGGTTAATTCCAAATCCATTTTTTTCCAGAGTACGATATGTCTCCAAAATCAATCACAAATAAAGAAAACTATGAATCTAGAGGTCAAGACCACCGTCTTCATGGTAAGGATAAAGAATTATTCAACTACACTTGGTTTAAGCAAGAAAAAATTGATTACTCGGGCAATAAGTATAATCAGTTACTGTATTATTAGGTGTAGGATACAAGGTCAACTAATTCATAAATTAATCAGTTATTGTATTATTATATGTAGGATATAACGTCAATTTCCGCTACCACTGATAATCGTCTTCGAGTCACAACTTGAGGATCTGTTTACAAGCTTGTCCACTTTCTCGCATAGACTCTCAAAAGAATAGTTCTTGTCGAATGCATCTTTAGCCATATCGCCCAGGAATACTTGCAGGTGGGGACTCATCATCAGCTTCTTCATAGCTACGGCGAACATCCTAGGGTCCGATTCGATTATTACTCCCGACAGCCTATGCACCAGCAACTTGGAGGCAATTCCTTTATTGGTAGCCACTATCGGCTTGCCTAGACTCATTGCTTTCAGTAGAAATTCCGAATAGACGTCGTTTTTCGCTGGGTGGATCATAATGGCCGATTCCATTATAAGGGTTTTCTCGTGGATTACGGGGAGCTGCTTAAGGAAGGTGACCTGAGACGCGCATATCCTCTCTTTGGCAGCAGCCATCACTTCGTTGTAATAGAATTTCTCATCGAGGGTCTTACAGTTCCCTGCTATCACTAACTGGAATCGCTTCGTGACGCTTTTGTCGTCTATGAGCTCTAGGAGCATTTCGAAGGCGTCCAGGGCCAGCCTAAAATTAGAAGATCTTCTGAATTTACCAACAGTGAGGAATAAGATCGTATTGCTGAGCAAGTCCGGGATGATGCGCTGTATTTTTATAGCCGGTTCTTCCCACAGGCCTATGTCAATGGAAGGGTACATAATTTGGGGTTGTTTCATAAGGGACGGAAAAGATTTCTTTAATATCTCAGCAAAACCGATAGTCTCCACGATGATTTCATCTGCCAATTTAATCCACTTTGCTTCCAATAAGCTCGGGTAGATCTTGGAATGCTCGAAGCAGGCGTCCGTGATCTTCAGCTCCAGAAAATTTTCCATGTAGAACAACTTGTAGTCTGTGAGTAGATTCAAAAAATACAGCGCCCATTTGCTTACGTCTAAAACGATAATGTCCGGTTTGGGCTCGGGAGGGTAAAATATTATTCTGAACGCCATCCAGGCGGCTTTCAACGCCGACATGTTGCTCCGGAAGAGGCCCAAAACGCTGCGCGGTATCCACCATCCCGAAAATTGGACGTCTATTTTGTCTGAAAACTAACAAATCCTTATTGGATATTGTCATAGGGAAATGGGGGGTATTACTTACTGAAACGTCCGCCACATTTTCATTTTTGTCGTACTGTGAGGTGAACATGGTGACCTTATAACCAATTTTGGAAAAGGCCAGACCGAGGTTGATAACATATCGATCTGTTTTCCGTTTAATCAGTTTCTCGTGCAAAATCAATACGTGGGGCGCCGCAACCTGTGGCCTTTCTTGAACACTGTCGTCTACATCGCTGGCTGTTGCGTTCTGTTCCATCTGAGTTATGTGAATTTGAAAGTTGGACAAAAATGTGCATTTTGACGCCACTTGTCACTCCATTTTTGCCAATGTCTAAATTCAGGGCACTCTTCTAAATCCTCAATAATACCATTTAAACACTATTTTACACCTGATAGTATACATATCCTATTCTACTTTACTAAACAGCCATTCGAATAACCAAATGTATATTTCAGAGATAGAAGAGCAGTTGGAAATGGCTGAGGACCGCTGCAACACCCTGAAAGGTCAACTGGACTACATGAAACACTTGTACGGCGTCTCAAGGAAGAGCCCTAAGGTTAGGAAAATATCCAGCTTGTCGCCGGGAAAAAAGTTGTCAGGTATACCACCTTGCTTCGATGTCGGCACCCCTTTTCATCGCTCCATTTTTAGATGACAAACAGTCCGAATCCTCGACCGTAGACGAAGCTAACGAAAAAGATAGTAGAGCTTACTTGAAAAGGCAGAATTCTAACGCTATCGGTACTGACAATACCGGAGCTGCGGTCAGGACCATAAATAACATACTCAATGGCATCACCGATTCCGTGAATAGGCTCTCTGAGTTGCACGTCCAAATAGCCGAAACGCCTAGAAATAGAAAAGTACGGTCTACCGGAGCCTCACCACGTAAGCTCAAACGTTACGTAAAAAGAAAAGAGTGAACTCTACATATCTTTTCAGACCCCGTAACCGCACTGAACATAACCTCACATTCCAACAACGACTTGGTGCTATCCCAAAAGACCAGGAACAACACTGATGTAGCAGGGAATGCCCGAGATACAACTGATATTTCGGCCCCCCCAAGCAGAAAGTCGAAGATCTTCAGGAGGAAGGGCAGGGATAATAAGCTACTAAACAGAAAGCCGTTGTCTTCCCAGCAATCCATCAAAAAGAATAACAGGCTCGATAAGAAGACCAGAAGCTATTCTACGAAGACCTCCATGCTTGATAAAAGTGCTACTACGATCATGAAAAGGAGGGTTCTTAACAGTCTGAGGCCACAAAATGTTCAAAGTTAGTTGTGGACAGATCAAATTTGGAAGAATCAACAAATTGAGAATTGTCCTTTAAACCCATTTCAATTTTAATTGATTGTATTTTTTATTAAAGCAGATACGCCCCAACCTCACAAGCTGGTGGAGATATACCATAACATCGCGGCGAAGAACAGTGATTCAGATGAAGGCAATCCTCAAAAGTCCAAAACGAAGCGTCTGTCCCCAAGCCGTATTAGGAGGAACGCAAGCACTCGTACCTCGAAGTTCTTCGATAACGAAGTGCCTCCCATTGACATTCCAGATAAGAACGAATCTGCTATATACCAGGAAGGCGAGGGGGACGCTCCTGCTCCACCTATGGAAACCCTCCGCAGCATGGAAGCCTCCAATTTGGAGCCACTTCAAGCTCCCAGAACGGAGATCAGCTGCTACTCTAAGAACTACGAGTTGCCCACCATAGCTTCGAGGATGAAACAAGTAGCTAAGAGTTATCTTAACAGCTTCACTTTTAAGGTTTGTAATGCAATTTGAACAACACAATACTCAGTGGTATGAGAATAGAGAGTCTTTATCTTCAATTTACAGGCTATTCCATTTTGTGCGGCGATTTCTACAAGCCCGAGCCACAACATCGGCATAAACATCCAACAAGTCATGAACATTATCAAAAACAAGCAGCCAATAAAGGGGATCTCTCCCACCCTGGCGCATAACATTGGTTTGGCAGCTGAGAGACTGAACAGCAGACCTCTATCTGCCCTCATCTCTAGCATACACTCCAAGACGGGGTAACCTTGACGTCCAAAACTAACACTTTTATATTACAGAGAATTTTTCTTTTAGATATCGGATTTCGCAATGTCCGTTGTCGAGGACGTATTTCAATTATCCCCAGCTCCAAGAAATGGCCAGGGGTATACCGGAAGAGACTGCGGAGGAAATCGAGGAAGAGGTCGACTCCCCGGAAATCAAGACAATGATAATAACCGGCCCTTCTGGCGACATGGAAGTGAGGAACCGCAACGCCCCCGTGTGGGCGGCCGATCCGAACAAATCGGAGCATTGCACCTGCGTGCCACAGGGTGGGGTACAACTGCAGCAGATCGTATCTAAGTATAAGAGGCCGGTTCCGTTGCAAACCGCTAAAAGTATGGAGGTAAGGCATCTCAAAAAACAATTTCTTATGATCACGAAACTTCGTTCATATTTTGACACTCCCAGGAGTTGTTTAACCATTCACAACTGCCGAGATAGCCTACAAACCAAGCCGTTAACCAACTGTATCTGAAAACTTTCAGGTTGCTAGTCGAATATTGAGATATAATGCCCTAAATAGGAAAAAACTGCTGCCTAACAAGTCCCAGGAATCGAGGAATGGTTTCGCCGCTATCCATAGCACTAACACCATCAAGACCCCATCACAGGAAGTTCCAGAGATGAATCCCTTACACGGCAGAGAAAAGAACTTGAAAGAGGTCCTGACCAACCTTCACGACGAGTTCGAGGCGTTAAATAAGTAAAAACACGTTACTTTGACAGGAATAAGGAGTATTTAATCTGAAACATTTTAGGAAATACGAAGAACTGTCGGGTAAGGCCAGCGCAGATGACGAGGAAACTCTGAAGGAACTGGAAAAGATGGAGGCGGAACTAAGCAAGAAGGAGGAGGAAATCACCATGGTTATGACTCTATACAAGGAAGTCATTGCGTTGAAGCAACAAATAAAAAATTTGAAGGAGAAAGCCAGCCAATCTAGTGTGAACGCAAACTCGTCAGACGTTAAATTTAAGGAATACAATAACCCACAAGCTGCTTTCCACCTCACGAAACTGTTGAGGCAGATACAGCACTACCAGATGCGCTACAAAAGAGATTTTAGTGGAGTGTAAATAAAAAATTTAGTGTACGTTCGAGCTACTTTATTTTCCCTTAAAAACGTAATATATATTTTCAAAATAAAGTATAGTGACCATAATTGAAGTGCATTTGTACTATCAAAGATGATTTCTAAAAAATGTACAACTCAGTATTCAAGTCGTTTGCATTTGGCAAGCAGTCATTATTCTAATGAGCAGTGCTCGGCAATTTCTGTTTTAAACTAAATATTATTGACACTATTGTTTAAGCTCGATGACTGTAATAGAGAGTCACTTGTGCGGTCTGTCCCCAGATGACACAACGGAATACTTGGCCTATAATTTCAAACAGCTCAGTGGAAATTGCCATGCAAGACGTGTGGTTAAATTGCCAGTTGTATATTTCCAACCGTTTAAAAAAGATTATAGGTTTTCAACAAAGAAAAAGTGAATGCTCTCAAAACAGCCGAAATAGGCGAGCTGTTCCTCAGATATTTTGGAATTTCTGCAGTGCCTGATTTACAGTGGTGGTGGCCTGCAGGCTGAAAATTGGTGGGGGCCTATTGTAGAAAAAAATACCGTCGTATTTCTGTGCTAACAATTTTTGGACTTTCCTTGCAAATAAAATTGTATTTTGACAATATATTCCTATGCCTTTTCTTTATAAAATTAATAGCTTTAAAGCTTCTTTGTTAGCGTGACAGCTTATTTTAATTTAAAAAAAAATGATAACTCGAAGAAGAAGTTAAGCTTCAAGTTTAAAAACATGCACAAAAATGCAAAAAAAATTAAAAATGACTAGCGACAATGAATTTCGGGTAACAATTTTCTTTTTTTTTTCCTCTAAATGAGTTACTTCGATCGGTCTAAAGGAGCAAAGTTACAAACTGAATTTTACTTGTCAAAAACCGCGATGACTTAATGCAATCGTGTGTCCGACACGTTCCCAACTGACCCCCCCAAACAATGCAGCTCTCATCACCGTTTAGCACCCAGGTAGCCCCCGTTCGGGGGCATTTCACCCCTCAGGAACACACGCGTCGGTCGCGTGCAGCCCTGACGTCGCGCATCAATCTATATTAAAGTTAAAAGCTTCCCTAATGAATTGCGCATACCGTGCGACTTGAACGCGGTGGACGTTATGACCTACGGCCAGGTAAAGACCGACTAATGAATTCGCCTCACATCCCGACTCAAAAGATGTAAATGAAAGTTCAATGTCCAGTGACAATCTTTTTCGCAATCAAGAATATTTACGGAGATACATCTTGTCCAAAAGCTCCAGAATGCAATGTGCATTTTGAGAACTGCTGTTTTGTAGCATGAAAGAGTGGAACTAATTAAGAGAGCAGAGTTTTTAGATAGGCGCCCACCTCACTTTAGTTTTTGAATGTGTAAAATAAATACCGTTTTATTTTTTCCTTTTTTTTGCCTAAAGACATGTTTTAGGTATGCTCTCATCGGGTTAAATACATTTTTTCTATTATTTTCCGCCAGCTTATCTTGCGTGTAGATAGCCTGTTCCTACATTCATTTAATTCAACCAAGAATAAATGTGGAATCCCGAATAAAAAAAATAAGCATTATCTCTCCGTATCGTTCTCATATCCAGGTTTCTAGGCTCGTTCTCTTACATTTGTAAATTACTCCTGTACTTTGTGACTCACGCGGCACAGAAAACCTCGACAAAGTAAACTGTATTGTACCCCAGATTACCGAGCGTTTTGTATTTCACCTATGAGGATGACTCAGCTCTCTGTGCGGTTTCCTCGATGGCTATCTTCGGTCGGACAGTTCTTCACATGTGCATGTACGTGAGGTAATTTTCGTACAGCGGTCTGCGGTAGAATGACAAGTTCCCAGTGGAAGTTTACTCATTGCCGAGCAATTTGCTAGTTTCCGTATAAAACTTATTCTTGAGCTGGACAGCATTTGTTAAGGAAAAAAATCAAATAAGCTCTCAAAACATAAGAAGGAACTTTTTATCGAGAAATTGTTGAAGAATGTCGTCAAATAACGACCGAAATACTTCGAAATGTTCGTTCAGAACTGGAGTAAAGATTTTATTATTATTGTGTGGAAGTGGAGTCTAACCAATTTAAACATTTAATAAAATAACATTCATGCATTGATATTTTGTCTTATTCTTTAAGTGATGATTTTATTGTCATATCCAAAGCAAAATTTAAAAAGTCGTATGTCGTCGTGAGCAGAATTGAAAACGCTTTAAAATAAGGTTTATAAGGCCTTGCCTAAGGGATAGTTTCCAAGACACCAAAACTTACGCCATCACATGTCTCCATTGAAAAAGAAAATCGACGTCTCAGGTTTTTTTTTTGTTTTTTAAATTCCGATATTTTCCAGGTGGGATGTTTTAATTGGAACACCCTGTATATTTCTTTACCAGTAGGCTCACCAAGACGACACTAATTGTAACAAGATTTCGCAATGTTGCCAATATAAATCGAACTAGAATTTAGTTGCTTACCAAATTATATTGTTTAAATTTAGTTGGTATCAATTGAGTTTCACGAGTTTCTGGTGAAGGTAAAATAACCTCACTTTAAATAAGGTTCGTTTGTTTATTTTTTAATAGTTAAGGGTTATAGAAAACTTAAGGAAAGTGCCATTCGTTCACATTTTTGTTTTGTTTTTTTTACAGCTACATTGATTATAATGAAAGCGTCTCCGACTTGCATATCATACATTTTTTATCATTAAAAGAATTGTTTTTTTTATTTCCACATTTTACTATGTATATTTTGAATATATAAGAAACACAAATATTGTTTATATATTTTTTTAATTTCCGCATCTACACTACGTCTTGAGTACCTATATTGATTTATATTTTGTATAATTTTTACAAAATATTATTGCTTTTGTTTACATACATTTGCTTTTCTGTCATTATCAGAAAAAATCATTAGTAAACATTTTGTATAGCAATAAGTATAGAATTTCTGTAAATGAATAAATAAAAATCCAACTATTATGTCTTTTAATTTGCATTTAATATTACTTTTCCTAAAAAAAAAATGGAGCGGTGTTATCAGCCAGGGGTTGATTGTTTGTTGTGAAATGTGAAATCATTGTCAAACTGCAATTACTAGTCCTGACCTATTCATCTGCACTGCCCTCATTTTTTTCTTCATCGACCTTTTAGTTCCTGATACCGCACAATTGTTGTTTTACCTAAGTACATTAACATTTTTAGGTATATATTAAGATAATCATTAAGGAATATTGCCACGGTAAAAAAAAATATACCTTGTGTATTCTTTCTAACCTAAAAAAAAATATTTTGGTGTTGACTGAAATATTCTCTCAATATTTCAGTCAACGTTTTTAGTGTTTAATAATTGCACCAATTCACTTACCTTTAATAAACCTATTTAGCAAAATAAACTATATAAACAATATAATACTATTATAACTTGGTAAAAGTTAGTAGTTTAGCAGATGAGATGACTTTTTGTGAATTTAAAATTAGTATTTGTGGAAAATATAATATCATGATATACAATTAATTTTACGTTACATTTACATAAAAAAACAAGAAAAAGCACCACAAAATTTTACGCTTAATTTATTATTATTGGGTGTCATTGTGCATTCATTTTATTACTTTAGTATTATTTTATTTAATGAGAACTACCTACAAAGTATTTTAAATTTTCCCGCGACAACACTGATATTAAACTGACTTTGGTAAGTAACTAGATATGTTAAGTTGGCAACGCTGCGAAATCTTGTTACAATGTGTCGTCTGCATGGAGACTAGATAGTCTCCATGGTCGTCTGGCTCACCATCCTTAAAGCTGCAACCGCGCGATTTCGTTTAAATATGCTTATATACCTTTTTAGTAGTGACGTCACATACGCCAAATAATAGGCAACATCATAGTACACATTGTCATGAAAAATTTGTCAGTATTTTTACTAAATCGATTTTCGACCTTATGTACTTTGGAAATAAATGCTAAAAAATGTCTTCTTTGTCATGATCTTAAATATCGCAATATTCTGGCAATATTAAAAATATTTAAGAAGTTTCAAACACCCAAGTGACAAACTAAAAGAATTATAGCATTTATATATTTAAATTTACAGAACAATATTGACTTTTATAGTAATTAATAAATTAAAACTATACATCAATGTTACTGAGCATGCGCATTAAAGGTAATTTCATGTAAGCGAAGTCGCCTCGCAACGCAACAGGAAATCATTGAAGGAAAGTTTGGTTATGGTTAAGAGTACGTCTATAATAAACCACTTGAAGAAAAAAACACTCGATAAACACAGACACAGTAAAACACCAAGAAAAACAATAACAAACGTAGTAGAACTAGAAATTGTCAAGATTAAACAAAACAAGACCAAATACGCTAATGATGATAGCGACAACATATCAACAAGAGCTCACCTGCGTAGGAGGCTATTCTTTCCGATCATGCGCATTAGGAACAACACGGCTAATGTTTAATTTTTACTTTATTTAAATTTCGTAATGTTCTTCTATATCGTTTTTTGTAAGTTTTAAGCACATTAGTGTATCTATTTTACGAAACACGTGTTGGTTGTTCTTAAATACTTCCAAATCCTTGTAAAAATAAATTAATTTGAAGTTTTTTTTATAGTATCTATGTAAATAGTACACAAGGGTCAGATTCGATATGTACAATTTCAACCAGAGAAAACTATCAGTGTTGTTCCTGGAATATATTTCAATGTACTGAAATCAGTGATACCAATGTACTGATTTGAAACAAATTGTACTGACGCGGGAAATTCAAAATTTTAAAAAATCAATACTTGAATAGTATGTGTGTAACACTTATAAAACGTCGAATCAGATTCCTATGTAAAAAGAAACACAATAATGACAATAACTTTTTAATATCTATGTGTACATTGTACAATTCTACAAAATGGTATAGTAGCGGCAGGAATTTAAACAATACACTTCATATTATGAACAAATAAATGTCATATTTTTATGAAAATATAAAAGAAATTGCAACTGAAAATAATTAAACTATATATATCATTAAATGTTTAGGTACATTAAATTACAAAAAGGATTTTTTTAAACGTGGCAAGACTGAAAATTATGCTGACAATAAAACAATTGCGTGACGTCATTCATATTTATTAACATTTTAAAAATTAAGCAGCCAACCCGGCAAGGTACTGAAAATCACTATCAGTGTACTGATGTACTGCAAAATGGTTAATTGTACTGATTTCAGTCCATTTGTACCGACAGGAACAACACTGAAAACTATACCAACTGGTGTTCTCTGATTTCAACTATGACAATTTGTTGTGGTTTGCCAAATATGTGACGTCACACTAAAATAGCGATACAAATGCTGCCCTCTGTTTGACAAAAGCTGAAGCTGACTTCAGTGCGTTCAGAATTCTGTACAATGAAACGTCATTTTGAGAACACAGGACAGTCTTAGCCCAAAATGATTTACTTAAATAACACTGAAACCACGACCCAAGTGACGTATCAGTATGAAATTTTTCGTCAAACCAGCGGATTAATTAAAATAAGTAAATTCAATATGGTTATAATAAAATATTATCATGTCTTTTATGTCTCGAATCCTACAGCTGTTTTTTCACTTTCTTGCCGTGTTTTTATCAAAATAAATTCATGTCGTAAGAAAAAATTGAACCCCCTCTCCCCCTTAAAAATCTTACGTAATGTATGGATGGCCCCTAAATTAAAATGAAAGTTGAAGATATGGAAAATAAAAATGAGATGGTAATTAAACTACAGGATACTAAAAATGATTTAAAACGTTCTTTTTCAATTATTTCAATTCATTTCGTAAGAAATAATATGTTATTCTGAGAGAGATCAGCAAGTGTCAGTAATGATAGATTTTTCTTAAAGAACCAATCATGCAATTGGTAAAAACAAGTTTTTCAAAAATTTCTATCCAAATATCAGAATACTTACAATAGAGGGACCCTACGACCTGTACTGTAAATTATTTTGAAAAAACAACAAATTGGTTCCTTACTTAAAAAATTATTTCAAAAATTGTGTTCATAATAAATAAAAATTTTCACAACTGTATGAAACTATGAGAGATTTTTTAAATGAAATTACAGTTTATCATACTATATTTCTTTTTTACTATCTCAAATAAGGAGATTTATAATAATATATATATAGGGTGATTCAGAACTTATCCAAAAAAAAATTCTGGATGTACAGGGGACCCTTACAAATACAATTTTGTAAAGAAAAAATCAAAAAGGTCAAATCGAAATTGATTTAAAAATATACTTCTACACGGCACTGGAAACTGGTCCACTGTAAAACCTGACCTCGCACAATGCGACCGGTATGGTGGCGTGATAAAAACGGACAAAAACTTTCACAAGGAAAGAAATATGTAAATAGAATTTTATCGCACCTATTTTATATCGGCAAATTCAAATGATTTTACCTTTATTAATTATTAATAAAATTAATTTGTGTTTTTAAATAATAAAATCATTTGACATACTGATGCTGCAACAGCAATTGTTCAAAATTTTATCCACTCACGTAAACACATTTGGGTCCGTCTTACTCACTTTCTATGAACTAACACAAATGATGTCTTGCTTCACCATAACACCAATACTTCACCATAATACAAATGTTGTCTTGCTTCACCATAAATTAAAACAATATCCATCAACTCTGAGTTGCTATACACGCAAGCCATTTTTGACACTAACTACTAAAAAACTGATGTAAATACCACAGATAACAGGTAAAACTACTGCAACGACGGATTTCAGTATTAGGAGTCACATGGCTCTCCACGCTTATTGCGAATGACGCTAGAGACTACAGTTGTCCAGCTATGTAGTAGTTTAATGTGCTATAACTTCAACAATTTTTTTCCCAGTAACTATAAGGATTTTACAAAAATTTTTTTTACAATATTGACTCCATTTCTCATGCCGCATCTATTCCCAAATTTTTTTGGACTAGTTGTGAATCACCCTGTATAAATGATTTAATTTAAAAGCTACTTATTAATTATACTCAAATATTGTATAGAATTTAAAGACACTTAGATTTGTAAAATGATTTAATTTGAAATGTATTTCATTTCTGGTTCATTACAAGCCTACAAGGTTGACCTTTACCGTTACTTTTTTGTAAAAATAATAAGAATTATAATCATTATTATGTTAAAAACGACGAAAATCTAAAATATATTTAAGTTTGACCGGTTATAATCAATATTAGTCCAAAAACTTTTGAAAACGCATCATTTTGAAGGGAATATCATCTAGTTTTTTGTACAGCAATTTTTTTTGCCTACTTCTACTAAAAAAAAATTAGAATCAAAAAGGTAAAAAAAAATTTAAAAAATCCAATTTTTTGCTTTTTTCAAATTGTTTATTAACAATTTTTTGCATAAAATTTTCCTTTTAAATTTTTTAAATAAGCCATTTCGATGGGAAATTCAATTCTCTAAATATTTTTTCCTATGAACTATAGCGAAATTTTGGTTCACTTTCGAGGTACAATTAAAAAACTGAAAGGATGCATTTTCACCCCTATCTCCAATTTCCACCCTCTAATTTAATAGCACCCCGCGGTTTTTTCATCGAAAATGACCCTTTGAACGATTCATGTAATAAAATATCTTGAACCAAAATATTTCCGAGCCTTCTTAATTCATCTGATGATGTCGAAATGATTGAATTATTGCTTAACACCAAAAAAAATTCTATCTTGTTGCAAATAGTTACCTAATTATTTACAAAAAACAGAGAGTAGAATTTTGTAAGAAAAATATTGTAGTTACCTGGAATTTTTAAAAAACTGGGTTTTAAATACTTTAAGAAAATGGGTAGTTAAAATAGGATTAATTGAAGTTTCAGGTTTCAGATTCGTATATATTTTAGTAAATGAAGACAAAATATAAATAACGACAAATATAAATGAGATCATTACTTAAAACAATTGACAAATTGTTTTATCTTAAAAGCAACACAAATAAGTTCAAAATTACCCATTATGTATAAATCGTGTCAATGATCCAGTCTGTCCTCTTCCTTTTGTAATCTTCAGTCTCATACATTTCTAAAATAATTGAAAAAAATTAAATTCCATAAAGAATCTAAAATAAATTAGCTTACGAATCATAGCGGTCAGCTTAATGCAACAATGGAGGAAATCCTCCATTTCCATCTCCCCTTTTTCGTTAGCGTAGCGCAGCATAAGCATGTTCAAAATTCTATTGTTGACCCGAATCTCAGAGGCCCTTAGGGCTTCCCGCAACTCCGGTCCCGATATCGTACCTGATTGATCCAAATCAAAGTTCCTGAACGTTCCCTAAAATATTTGCTCACAGAACCGTGGTTTGGAAATAAAATCAAGCTTGCATACCCTCCATGTACCGATTTTCTCCCACAGCTGGAAAAACTCATGAAAGTTTAACTTCCCCGACTGATCCGTGTCCATCAGGGCCACCATGCTGCGGCAAACTTCCTTAGAAAACTCCTTTTTCTCTATTAAAAAGAAAATTAATGTCGGTAGGTAATTCGAGGCTTTTGCAAACATACCTTCTTTAAGAAGAAGATCCAATATACGCTTCAGCTCCACCCAACTGATGTTCTCGTCTTCTCCGGCAAAACCTTTATAAACGTGCTTGATTGCAAGATCTGCAGCTTTCGAGTCGATCGTATCTCTCAAAACCTAAGAAAATATTGGTGTAGAGGATGTTTTATATTTTCAGTATCAAAACTTACAGTGCCGTCTTCCTGGCGAATCATCCCAACCTCATCATCTTGTTCTCTAAAAATAAAGTAGTCCGCTGAATTTTGACTCAAAAATGATCATCTCACTTACATGACGGTAAATGGTACATCGGAATAGACTCTAAGAAGGAATTCGCAGTTGGTCCTCGAGTCGTCAGTGAAGGGAATAATGCAATAACTCCCGCTGGACAGCTCCACGTGTCCTGTAACTTGTTTGGCCTTTTCTATTTGACGTTCATAGACGGGTTTCCTGGATCCTAGAAAGTCACGGCTCAATCTGCCCCCGTTTACGATAGAATTTATCACCTAAAAGTCAAAAAGATTTAGGTTGTATGTCAAATAGTCAACTACAATTTGATTGTTGTAACATTCGCTTACACGATATATTGCAAAACCGATAGGAAGCTCCGGGAGTCGATGTATTCTTCTGTTTTTCTGCATTAAACCAATTAATATTACGTGTGTTTTGCTTTTGTCTGGGTCATTAATGTTTACTAAATATTGAGGGTTTCTGTAAAAATCTGAAAAAAAGACAGTGTTCAGTGTTTACCCTAAAATGAATGTGGTTATTAATCGACAGGGTAGAGTGTAACAACGCCATTACAACTAAAAAAACTTGGAAACATTGACGCTATTGGTTATTTTTTCTTCATTTTACGTGAAGACACTTATTATAAGGAAACTATACCAAATCTACATCTTCAATGAGGTTTAAAGTTGATCTAAAACATCTTTCCAATATTTAAAGTATCATAAAGCTTTTACGAATGGTTCTAGGAAAAAAATGTTACCTATTAGTGTATTTTTGTTTGTTTTTATGAGAGGAATCAAATCTAAAGGTTTGTCTTTGAACATTCCCTGTAGATATACTGCTGCAAAGTTACTATGAAAATGTCTACCATCAAATCACAATATTAGAATTTCTGATCTGAGCAAACCTTTATTGTTTGGTAACCCTCCAGACGTAACTTTGGCAACCCAGGCTCCATCTATCATGAAACTTTTCCAACGTCGTACTTCCTCCTGAGCGGTCTTCAGCGAGGCCGGATTTGGATGACAGAACTCTAAGAGCGTGTAGTTTGTGATGAAATCCTTGAACTCCATCCAGAACTCTCCATCATCTTTGACCCTAAGCAATTGTTGCTTGGTATCTTCTGGCACCAACTCCCACCTGTCCGAACTAAAAAAAATGCCAGTGTAGAGATATTTGTTTCTATTCAGGATATTCCCAAGGAAAAAATTAAACATTTACTTGTCACTCCAGTCTCCCGTCCACTCGCATTGCCCCCACGGGTTTCTGATTCTGACTAATTTGAAATCGGCAGTCCCGCTTACATCGTTAATTCTTATTACTCCAGTAATACTGTACGCGTGTCTTGTGTAAAGTCCATTAGATTGCTCACCTTCCACCTCTTTTGAATTCTAAAATATAATTACATGCAAAAGTTTTTGACACGATTTTATTATTTTTGTTAATATTTTCATCAAAATGACAAAGTATACCGCAAGGAAGGACACACACACTTTAAGGGGGTGTTTTTTTGGTAACAATAAGCATAAAATCATCACCTCCGAGATATAGGCCTTCAAATGAAGAGAAAATTTTGTTATTTTTGATATAATATAAAAAATCGCAATGTTTATGCTGCTTATTATAATGTGATGGAATATCCCCTTGAAATTTGTGCACTCTCTCATTTAATTTTCAAGATTTATACCGTTATCCCACAGCCCATATAAGACTGTGTCCTGCAGGACACTTCCATCATTTCAAAAAAATTGTAAATGTGATGTAGTTTCAAAATCTCATCATAAATTTCGGTAAGGCCTCCTGTAAGATCCTGAAGAGCTTCAGAAGTGAAACCACCCTCTATATTTTTATAGGAACCATACAGCCTGAAATTAGTGTTCGATTCACAAAATACAGTTACGGTTATATAGCAATATTTTTGTAAATTAAACTCACTTTGCACAGGCTTTTTCGAGTAATGGCGTCCAAAACTCATCTGGTCGGTTTGATTTCAAATAAATCAACTTGCCTTTGTACGTAGGAAGTCTGTCATCTATAACTATGTCTATCCACCTGCCGTACTGCCAAAATCTACATTTAATTTTAATTAATTAAAGTTTTAAGAATGAATTGTATTTATTAACAATTTTGTGGGGATTGTGAAATACAGGTGTACCGGAATAGGTGTTACAAACTTTAATAGCAGGTAGATCTCATTGAAATATTAAAAAAATTGTTCCTATGTCCAGAAATGCTTATTAAAAGTACTATGCCTCTCAAAACTATGAAGAAACTGTTGTTTTGTATTTCAGGAAAACGCAAAAAAAAACAATTGAATTATTTTTGATATAGATCCATTATTTTTATTGTAAAATTATTGTAATTAAGAAATATGTTTCTGAAGGTAGATGTCAGAGAAACACTTTCCATTCAATCTTTCACTCTTCGAAATAATCATATTGTTTGAAGGTTCCTTTAGACCAGTGCAGGAACATGTGGTCTTTGCATAACGGTGCCCCAGTCCATTTTCTTTATGGTTCACAACATTTAAATTGTACTTATTAGCACTGATGGATCGTGGAGGACCCGTGTAGCATGGCCGTCAAGTGCTCCAGAGCTTAAGCTGCTTTATTTTTATAGGACCCCCTTGAATCACTGGTTTACGCAACAGTTCTTATTGATACATTTCAGCTTCTTGCACATATTCAAATTTAAAATACTCCAAGAATATTCCACAAAGGGCGAGAAAATAAAAAAAATATATAAAAATTAACCCCCACCTTTACGCAAACTACCCTTTACACAAATTTCATCATTGCTATTTTATTACAATCATGTTCAGCAATAAAATTGATTGGTCTGTAACAAAAATTATAACAGTCGGTTATTCTATCGTTCAATAAAGGTAACCATTTCTTGGTAATATATTCGAGAAGCATATGCGTTTCATGTCATAAGTATATCCGTAGGATTTTTTTTTACTATTTGTATGAGTTCTATCTGCTGTTAAAGTTTGTAACACTTGTTGTTACCTGAAATGGAAAATGCCAGCATAGTCTTCGTGAAAACTCTGTCCGGCTGGTACTATCAAATCCATGAGTCTATGGTTCCGCACCACGTCTGCAACTGCTGCCAAGAACCAGCAGTCACCAAGATCCCCCTGATTTATATCAAATCGATCCTTGCCGTCTCTGACTAGTTTGGGGTATTCTACTATTTCCTTTAAATAATGCAATGATGCATTGAAATTAAAATATACCTCCTTAGTATTACACTTCTCAGTATAAAAAAGTCAGTATTCTTTACCTTTGGCCGCAGCCACTTGATGCTATCTCTCATTTTTGTCCAGTTATCGCCCATTTCTATCGTTTCTGGAGAGAACTGGGGGTCTTCGAATAGTGTCTGGCACTGAAGGTGGTAAGCTTTTAGCTGATTGTAGTTTTGTAGAATTCCTCTAGGTTTTAGTCCTGAATTTCTCTCACCTAACTAAATTTCCCAAAAATCTATAAGGATTTTCTTAACAAATAGTATTGGAAAATTGTACGTCAGAGACAATTATCAAGGAGTGATAGGGCTAATGTGTCGATAAAGAAAAGGAAAATGATAAAATCAAACATTTAAATGTTTTAATCTACTCTCATTTAATTCCGACATAGTAAAGGAACCATTTATAATCATTTCGGCATTGTCAATGCTGAGTTGTTAAAATCTGTTTCCGATTTTTTACCTTTATTAAATCAATACCTACTTAAAAGGACTTTGCGACGCTGTGATGAAATAATCGCTTATCAAAACTCTAATGTGAAACGTTAATAGTTAAGTACATATTTGTAATAAGACACGAAATGTTGGTTTAATATATCAGCTTAAACAATCTGTGTATTTACTTTAAAATCAAAGATTAAAAATACGTCGTTTAATCTTGTCGCACGTTTAATATTTTTTATTGAAATTTAAAGCCATAAATAGTATTGTAAGATTAACAAATTAGTAATAAAATAATTTTAAGGGGTTAGTCACTCAGTAGTACATTCCGCAACAATTTTTTTTCAAGAATGATTAGCAGATTGATTGTTTTTATTAGTTGAAATTTTTAAAAAATATGCACGAACAACTATCTAAAATTAAAGCACTCTGTACATCTTTATCTTTTGAAGAAGATTCCAATACGATACAACTACACTGACAAAAGTTGTTTTGTTAAATATACAGGGTGTCTTCTAAAAAACGCTCGGAAGCCGTCATTTATAGTCTGATTTTAAAAAACTAAAAATTATATGAAATGACTCTAAATACACTATAGAGCCTATTGGGGCGTATTTATTATTATTTATTTTTATTTTTTTGAAAAGCGATAGTCAACTCATGTTTTTTTTTATTTATCATTGTGCAGAATCCTATTCTGAATTCAACGATGTACATAAAGTCTACTTTTGAGAAACATGTATTACAGAAAAAGCATGAAAATATTAGTCAGTCCCACATTATTAGCGTCCGGTCGCTTAATTGACAACAAACATATTTTGACTGATCATGTATGCCTGGAAGACAAAAAATAATACAACAAAGCAAGTAAATGTCATTTTAGCGTTCGTGTCCCAGTTTTTTACGCATTTTACTCTTTCTGTGTCATTTACAGTAGGTTATTTATTGAAATACGCTAAACAGTGCAAAATATGAGTGATAATCAATTGACGGACATGATTCAGGTATACTTTCGGTGTAATAAAAATCGTGGTGCAGGAGTCCGCCTTTACAGAGAACTAGTTCCTCACAGAGAAGATCCAGCACCACGTAGATTTGTAAGACTTGAAGAAAATTTGAGAAACTATGGTGCTTTTAAGAAATCAAAGCGAGAGGAACGACAATTTAATGAACATCGAGTTCAATGTTCTTCTAAACGTTGAAGAAAACCCAAGAACTTCCATTTGGGGAATTTCTAACAATAGAGCATCAAAGAGAACTGTACATGCAGTATTGAAAAAGCACAAATTCAAGCCATACATCCGTCAAAAAGTAAAGGCAATAAAGGACGGCTACAATTTGTTTCTTTAGTTGTTTTGTGTTTGTTCTTTGTTTAATGTGTTTTGTGTTTAATTAATGTTACTTCGTGTTGAACTTTGTATGTATTTAATTCAATTGTTTTTCATTTAATTGATATTCATTGTATTGTTTCTTTTCTGTTAACCACAAAATTCTTTTTTGAGTTTTATTTGCTTTGCCATATTATTTTTTGTTTTCCAGACACCTCGATAATCGCGATGCTATGATAGCATTTTGGTGACACTCCCCGTATACTAACATCGTGCCAAGTAATGTCACTACTGCAAATATGGACTACTTTAAATGCCAAAATGATCAAAGGGGCTCCACAGGAGTACTGAGCCCCTACACTTTTTTCCCTATCTTAGAATGTTGAATTTAATATGCCTAATTTTACCCAAACTTATTAATTCCCGAAGTGAAGATCATCCCGATTTGAGGTCTATATACGCCACTGGTTCTGAGCTCATTGTACAATTTGATTTGTGAAAACAGAATTTTAAAATGCGTATTTTAGGCATATAAATTACTTACCATGTAAATTCTCGTAGGATCGAAACCGGTACACGTGTCACTAGAATGCTGGGTGGCAAAAAAATCCCTGGCACTGTTGAAAGCCATTTTTTGTCACAACCTGCCTCGCGAATTTGGGGAAATCAAATAACAACAGTAGTAAATCTATTATTTTGCTTTATCTTATCGGCTTATCAATGGCAAATAAGTATATATTTAAAATAAGTGGTGATAATATTGATTAATTAGTCAGAATTAGACTCAAAAGAGACATATGGTATCAGATAAGCTTGAGCTAATATTTCAAAACAAATCATTCTTTTTTTTACAAACACGGACAGTTTAAGTATCTTTCCGAAGATAAATACGGATCGCCCAAAGATAAAGTTATTAAAAAAAACGCAAAGCGATAAATGAGTAAATATTTATTTTTGGTAATAACTTTGCGAAACACTGGTAACATCTTATAATCTATGAGTAATTTCAAGTAACAACGTCGTAGAAATAACAATTTTAATGTTGCATATGGATACAAAATATATTTAATAATTAATACAAAAATATTACAATTTTTAAAAGTGCAAATAAATTAGTCGTAAAAGTATTAAAATCGTATATTTAAATTGTATATAAGTATATTTTTAAGAATACAAAGTGCACTCTAACCATTCTTCCAGTGAGAAATCGGCAATGTTAGTATTGGCCTCGTCTCTTGCTTTAAAAATATCTGAGAGCAAAACGAAACATAAAATAATAAATTTCCTTTAATTTACAGTTTATTGCAATTATTCAAAAGCCATTAAAGCATCAACACTGTATAAAGGGAGTGTTATAACAAAAAAACTCACCTATCATAGTTTTCAACTTGATGGTACACATCATAAAATCGTCGAAGTTAATTTCTCCCTTTTTATTCCCATACCTATGCATGAGTACATTTAATATCCTATTATTCAACCTGTATCCCGCGGCATTCAAAGCTTCCCTAAGTTCGAATCCACTAAATGTTCCCGATTTATCAGTGTCGTACAAAATCCACGCATTCTAAAACAATAATTAACTTACGGGCTCGAATCGAATAAATTTGATTGAATAAATATACACACCTTCCATTGTCGAAGTGACGTCCACAAGTTTCGAAACTCCTTGTAATTCAGCTTGCCAGAACGATCTATGTCTAGCATAGCGACCATACTACGGCAAATATCCTTTGAGAATCGAGACATTTGCATTTCTGTAATACACATAAAAGTAAGTAACGGCTAGAGGTGGAAAACACACTTCTTCATGCAACTATCATGCACAACGGAATACCTCCCTGGTTAATTATTTAGCATGCTCGCCCTGTTGTGGTCATGCCATGTTAAAGTTTTCAAGCTGTATAATAAAAGTCCATTATATAGTAGTTAAAAATAACAATCATGCGTTAATTTGTTAGTAGAAAAAGGATTAATCCTAGCATGCACTGTTTAATGTCGACACGTACCGGAGAAACTTGTACATAACGGTGTATTTTGTGTTGGTGCTGGTACAATTTCAGCCAAAGGAGTATCCTTACAGAAAGTTCCACAGATGAGATTTAAAAGGGCGGGAACAAAACTGTTAGTGTCGCTTGTTTGGGTCTGTGGAGGCACTTCAGATGGAGGAGCCGCGTTAAGGCTGACAACTGTTTTACAGTTTGGCATATTTTCCTGTTTTTGGTCAAGTTCTAGCTCTGGCAACCAAAATTAAGGAATGCGTTAATATGAGTACCAAAATAACATTTGAAATAAGTTATAATCCAGAAATAAATAAAAATTGGCCAATTATTTATTTAGATCCTGGAAAATATCATTAACCGCTATATAAATAAAACTATGTAGTTTTACAGAAATAACTATTATTATGAAACGACGTTGTTTTAAAATGTACTTGTAACACCGTGTGCCCTTTCTCTTCCTACGCCTATGGAATGTGCGGTTACCTTGGCAACCGCTTTGTGGCTGTCAACAACATGTTTTGTGGTTAACAATTTCGTTGTGAAATAATTATGATTGTTTTAAATATTCAAATTAACGCTGAGAAAACGTTTGGATTATACTGCAAAAATGATATTATAAGGTGTAATAAAAATATTTATTGTAATAAATACTCAGATCGTTTACATTCTTAAGAAAAACCTGTTAGTACTTAAACAGTAACAAAATGCGTTCTTTACCAAAATGGGTTGATAAAATCCAAGATAGTGACAAAATAGGCCAAAGGTAAGTACTAAATTCATGTAAGTATTCGACACCTTAGCATTTTGTTAAAAAAATTTCAGTATCTACGATCTCTGTTTTAACCCAGACGGAAGCCAACTTATTGTGGCAGGAGGCAATCATGTTTTAGTATACGATACTAACGATGGCAGCCTTATCCAGCTCTTAAAAGGGCATAAAGACAAAGTACATTCTGTAAATTATGCGAGAAACGGAGAAAAATTTGCAAGCGGCAGTGCTGACAAAACCGTTATAATATGGTCCAATAAACTAGAAGGCCTGCTGAAGTACAGTCACGGCGATTCTGTTCAGTGTGTTGCTTTCAATCCGTTGTCGCACCAACTAGCTTCTTGTGCTTTGACAGATTTTGCTTTTTGGAGCGCAGAGCAAAAAGCCGTTCAGAAACACAAAACAAACGTTAGAATTAACTCCTGTTCTTGGACGAATGACGGTCAGTATTTGGCACTGGCATTGAATAACGGTGTGATATCCATCAGAAACAAACTAGGGGAAGAAAAAGGGAAAATCGAAAGGCCTAACGGTCCTGCCATATGGGCTCTAAGCTGGAGTACCAATAAAGACGATCAAACAGACACTTTGTGTGTAACTGACTGGAGTAAAACATTGTCCTTTTATACTTTAGGTGGTAAATTAGTGGGGAAAGAACGAAATTTAGGATACGAAGCTTTAAGAGTTAGGTATTTTCCTCAAGGAGATTACATTTTAATAGGGGGGTTAAATAAAACTTGTACGATGTACACAAAAGACGGAATAAAGCTGGGCGTTATAGGGGACCAGCAGAACTCATGGGTATGGTGTTGCGAGGCCCATCCGAACGGAAATTTTGTGGTAACAAATAAAAACCTTTAAATATCTCATAATCCGATACGATTCCTTTGTAGGCTATGGGATGTGAGGACGGAACTATTTCCTATTATCAGCTCGTTTTTAACATGGTTCACGGGCTGTACAAGGAAAGATACGCGTTTAGAGAGAACATGACTGATATTATTATACAACATTTGCTGACCGAGCAAAAAGTCAGAATTAAATGTCGAGACCTCATTAAGAAAATAGCGATATATACTGATCGTCTTGCCGTAAGTATCGTTTTATTCGATTATATGTGGTGTAACTTGTTCTCGCGGTTCTCAGCGACGAAATATAAAAATAACAAAACAAAGGTTCAAAAAAGTGTTTACAACAGAAATTGAGAAAACAAACTTGTGTTTCCAAAGGTTAAAGTTAGCCTCCGCATTAATTTGATCCACATTCAAATCTACACCCTGTATATTTTGTACAGGGTTATACAAAAGTCCCGGTACGGCAGAAAAACTTTCGAAAAAAGCATTTTGGAAAGAAATGTTTCAGACAAAAGTGTAAGGATTGTTCCCGGGCTATCTGATGCTGACCTTGGATTTGACCTTGACCTTCAAGGTCATTTAAAGGTCAAGATACGTTTTTTTAAATGAAAACCCCTATTTTTTATTGCGGATTTGGAAAGAACAGGAAATTTTACGTCCAAACATGGACATTTAACAATGACCTTGCTCTTTCCAAATCCGCAATAAAAAATGGGGGTTCCCATTTAAAAAAACAACTTGACCTTCAAATGACCTTGAAGGTCAGTCAAGGTCAAATCCAAGGTCACCATCAGGTAGCCAGGGAAAAATCCTTACACTTTTGTCTGAAACATTTTTCCCAAAATGCTTTCTTCGAAAGTTTTTCTGCCGCACCGGGACTTTTGGATAACCCTGTATAAACATGTAATGGTTTGCAGGTTCAGTTGCCCGAAAGGGTGGTTATTTACGAACTCTACTCCAAAGACATCAGCGACATGCACTACAGAGCTAAAGAAAAAATTACTCAAAAATTGGACTGTAGCTTGTTAGTCGTTTGTACCGATCATCTTGTAATATGCCGAGAAAAAACACTGCAGAGCATGTTTTTCTCTGGAGAGAAAGAGAAAGAATGGCATTTCGAGAGTCCCATAAGGTACATCAAAAACATTGGAGGGCCTCCTGGGAAGGAAGGACTGCTGCTGGGGCTCAAAAGTGGACAAGTCTGGGAAGTACATTTAGATAACATCCACCCGTTGTTAAAGGTAATACAATTAAAAATAAATCGTATACTTTGACTCTTCCGTTTATATCTTGCAGGTAACTACAAACGAGGGCGTCAGATGTCTGGACTTGAGTCAGAGAAAAGAAAAACTTGCCGTGGTCGACGAGACGGGACTGTGTCAAATATTCAACGCTAAAACGGGCGAACTCTTCTTTCAAGAAACAAACGCGAATAGCGTCGCATTCAACAACCTCTACGAAGACATGCTCGCTTTCAGCGGCAACAATACCTTGTCCATCAAGGTTATGGATTTCCCCGCCCATACTCAGAAACTAAACGGGTTTGTCGTCGGTCTGATGGGTTCGAAAGTGTTTTGTTTGAACGGGTCTAACATGAATACCCTTGAATTGCCACTGAGCGCTCCTATGTACCAGTATATCGATAAAAAAATGTTTAACGAAGCTTATAAAGTGGCTTGTCTGGGTGTGACGCAGGGAGATTGGGAGGAATTGGCGCATTCGGCGCTGGAACATTTGGAATTCGACGTTGCCCGATTGGCTTTCATCAGATTGCAGGACTTCACGTATCTGGAACTGATACACGAACTACTAGAATTACAGCAGAAAGGTAAGTAAACAGGAATGAGGATATCGTCTGTAATTATCTTTTGGTGCATTGTTTATTACTTTTCTGCCAGCCATTCTGGAAAAAAAGATATTTTAAATAGCCCCTTTTCAATTTCAATTATTTGCACTTTTTTAAAGCACTCTGTTTAGTTTGTTAATCCCAGCCTCAATGACCGTGACATTGACTTACATAATATCAATCCACCTGATCTGATATGGCAATAGGGCGTTAGGTGGGTAAAAAACCCAATAGCCAACATTTATTTGGCAAAAAAAGAGTGGTAGAATATGTCACTGCTTCATTTTATTGTTAGTTTTCAAAATATCGATTTACGAGAGGTGTTTGATAGATTGAGGCGATATAAAACAAAAACTAGACGATCTTTTAACAAGGTTCATAGTTCAAACGTAAATATAGAATTTCCCGACTTTTCCAGGTTTTCCGACGTATAAAAAAAAATTCAGGTCACTTGCGCACTAATTGGTGTTTATGCATTACACTTATTTTAGACTGGACACCATAATCTTTTTTAGTACAGTCATTGAAGCTTTTCACTTCCGAATTCTTTGAAACTGAACCAATCGACTTGAAATTTGGCAGATAGTTAGGGAAAAGGTCAATGAACATTAGTGACATAACGTCGATTGACGCTTCCACCCTGTTGGGGGTTGACACCCATTCTTGGAGGTGGAAATTTTTTTCAATTTCTTTCACTTAGGGGTAGTTTTTGCCCCTAAAAAACAAAAAGCGTCAATCGGGCTTATGTCACTTTTGAACTTGAGCCGAAGATGAGCCTTATTCTAAATTTTCATGCAAATCCATCCAGTTTCAAACAATTCGGAGGTTACAGCTGATTTTCAGCTTCAATGATTGTACTATTTTATAACCAAAGAACCTCTTATAAAAGTCTCAAAACCACAAATAGCTTTCTCTTTGAAGAACCCGGAGCCTATTTTCACAAAATTTCCAGTTACAAACATCAATTCCCTAACTTTCATGTTTTTTTATGAAGAATAATGAATTCCCTGACTTTTTCTGGTATTCCCGGTTTTCCAGGCCGCTACAAACGTTGCATAACAACGATCGTTCTGTTGCAGGGGATTACCCTCGAGAGGTAATGATTGGAGACATCAACGCCCACAAAGGCAAACTAAAGGAAGCGGCCAAGATTTACCAGAAGGCGGGCCAGGAGTACAAAGCGTTAACGATGTACACGGACCTGCGCATGTTCGACGAAGCACAGGAATACCTCGGTTCGAACGATAACAGCGACCTGATTCGCAGGAAGGCCGACTGGGCCAAGAACATAAACGAGCACAAGGCAGCCGCCGATATGTACCTGTCCATAGGCGAGATAAAGCCGGCGATAGAGATATACGCCGAGAAAGGATGGACGGACCAGTTAATAGAACTGGGAAGACGCATCGATAAATCGGACAGATCCTCGCTGCTGGCCATAGCGCAGCATTTGAAACGCTTAAACCAATCGTCGGCAGCTGCGGAAATTTACCGGAGGCTGGGGGACTCCGCGGCCGTCCTGCAGCTGCACGTCGAAGCCAAAGAATGGTCTCAAGCTTTCGCGTTGGTGCAAAACCAGCCCCAGTACAACGCCATCGTTTACGTTCCGTACGCGCAGTGGTTAGCGGAGAGCGATAAGTTCGTGCAGGCGCAGAAGGCTTTCCATAAAGCGGGGAAGTCGGAAGAGGCTTTTAAGGTTTTCTTCCAGTTGACCGACAACGCGGTCTCTGAGTGTCGTTTCCACGACGCCGGTTATTATTACTGGATAATGTCGCAGCAGTACCTCGATTTGTCCAGGAACAACAACGACAAACGCGATCAGTATTTGAAACAGTTCGAGGTTAACGAGAAGCTAGCGGAGATATACTACGCCTACAATACCGTACATAAATATTTGGAGGAACCGTTCACGTCCTACATGCCCGAAGCACTCTTTAATATAGCCAGGTTCGTTATGATAGAAAGTTCGCAGTTGGGCACCAAGGGAGTGTCGCAATTCGCCATCCTGTACACCCTGGCGAAACAAGCGAGGAAACTAGGTGCTAACAAATTGGCAAAGCAACTTTTCGATAAGATCCAAACGTTAAGGGTGCCGCATAAATTTCAAGAACAAGTGGAGATAGCCGCCATATCCTCCAGAGCTCGACCCTATAGCGATCCCGAAGAGCTGCTGCCTATGTGTTACCGGTGTTCGACTTATAATTCTCTTGCAGCCGTTTCAAACGATTGCTTTAATTGTGGCCAGAGATTCGTGTACTCGTTTGTGAGCTTCGAACTGCTCCCGTTGGTGGAGTTTCAGTTGGAAGAGGGGATAACCGACGAAGAAGCCGTGAGGTTAATTGAAACTCCCCCTTCGAAGGTAACAGACGAGACTTGGAAGGAGAACGTCTCGGAAAACCAACAAATGCTGCAGTTAACCGACGATTCAGAGGAAGAAAAAGACCCGTTCATGTCGAAGATTATGAAACACGAAGATTCCAACACGTTCTCGCCTATCGTCGTAGGGAAAAAGACGTTACTGTCTTTGGACGGTTCCAGCGTTTTGATTTGCAAATGGAGCCCACCGTTGAGGTATCAGTATTTCAGGAACTTGTTGCCCGATTTGCACGTCACGATATGCGAGTCTTGCTTTAAGTGCTTTCACGTGGACGACTTTGAACTGCAGCTGCTGCAGAATGGGCACTGCCCGTTTTGTCGGACCCCTCCCGATAACGTGGGATTGGACACCGGTGATGAACTTGTTCTATAAACTCTGCTTATTTTAAGAGAAATAAATGTTGATTCGTAATTTGTGTGTTTCATTGAATGTTCCATTTTGATTTTAATTTAAATTTCAGTAACGTGGAAATAGTCGCCATATGCTCCAGACCTTAACCCTATAGCGATCCCGAAGAGTTGCTTTCAGAAAAGTAAATTTTAACTTACATTTTGTTTTATTGAATTTCCCAGTTGAATTTGAGAAATATTAAGAAAAAAATATTAAACCTTTAAACTTAAATTGTCTTAAATTTTTAAAAAACGAATTTTGTAAATCGGATCTCAGATACGTGATCAGTGACCCCGAAAACCCCCGTATATCAAATTTGGCGCGAATCTGTTATTTTTTTAATATTTGATCGGCCATTTTGAATTTTGCAAAATTGACCTCGGATCCGTGATCAGCGACCCCAAAAACCCCCGTATTTGGTATAAAAAAAAAAATATGAAACCTTTAAACTGAAATAGCCTTAAATTTTTGAAAAAATTTCGAATTAACTACTTTCTCATTTGTAGCACACGTTTTTTCTCGCCTTCCGGCCCATTCGACGACTTCAACTTTTATACATCGACAACATTGCTTAAAAATTTAATTCGCGATATTCGACAAGTCACAAATCTTACCTGATTTCATGGTCTGATCTAAAATTTCCTTCAGTTCCGACCAGTCCACCTCTCCGTCTCTCCCGGCCAACTTCAAGAAAATACCGTAAGCTTTATCCGTCTCTTGGACTTCTTGAGGCGTGGGCGGTTTCTCAACCTATGACACAGCTGCTATTAGAAACTGGTTACGATTTGCAGTTGCATTACCTTTTCCGGGGTTACAATTTCAATTCTTGACTGGAAAAATCAGGCAACAATATACAGCATGCAAAGTAGCCAGAAATAAAAAAAAACGTTACTTAATTATTTGGGAATCTGTGAAAATCAACCAGTAGAAAATTCGGAATCATGGAAATGTGTCCTGTTGTTATAATATTGCGCAAAAGTTCTAGGTTTTAGGCAAAATGTGAAAAAGCCTGCATATGAAAGGAATAAAATTTAAGAAAGCGTCATTAATGTTGGATCATTGTGTATACCAAGTGTCCCAAAAATAGTTGACAGGCACATAGGGGTAGAAAAGGGGGTGGAATTCTAAGATGACAAGTAATCAGGAACATGCTTTAAGGGTATGCCGAAGAAGCGTGGTATGGTCAGTAAAGAGGCTAAAATAATAAAACATAATAAATAATGGACGCTATTCCGTGTCTCGGCAGCCTTGATGCTCTCCGCAGTGGTGGGAATTCCACCCTCCTTCTACCCCTAGGTGCCAGTCTACTATTTTTGAGACACCCTATACAGGGTGGGCCACCAGTAACACCTCGGTCACTAGGGGCGAAATGGCAAATGATGGTAGGTTGATTACGGCTACATTTTAAAAATATTGTGAAATATACAGGATGTCCAGGAAAAGCATACTGTATTAAAGTTATGTATTTTTAAATGGAACACCCTGTATTTTACTGCATTTTTGAAAGCACCGTAAAAAATAGGTGAACTTTATTAAAGGTTCTGCATACCTAGGACTTATCGTTTGTGAGATATTTCAATTTCAGTGAAAATGTAGGCTTAGCATAGAAATTTAATATTAGCGATAAAAAAATAATTTTAACAAGGCAGCTTTGGAGAGTGTATTTTAGATCCTCGAAATTATAAATTATTATATTTGTCATACAGGGTGTCCAAAAAACTGGTGGATACTTTTCCCAACTTTAAACAGCAATAAATTGGTTATTTTAAATGGAACACCCAGTATATTTTTACTTTGGGAGTTAGTAAATTTAACTCTTTCAAACTGTATATAGGTTCCCTACACCTATTTCTAATGGTATTGGAGATATTTGTGCCGTTTCGTTTTTTATCGAATTTTTTTGTAAGATGTATCCACGTGTCTTCATCGAGGTCTTTATTGAATTGGTTTGGGTTCTTCTTAATGACTTTCTTTAAACATAAGGAGTAAAATGAGGATGCAATTAAATGGCGTACCTTCAAATTTTTCATATTCAGTGAGAAAAATTTAGTAATAAATGGATAAGTAAGAATGGTGCATGTCAGTGGCCACCTAGGTATCCAGACCTCATCTTAATGGACTTCTTTGTTTCGGGCTGTATAAAAAAACTTGCACCTGCTACTTGTGATGATATGAAGGAAAGGATTAGAGATGCACTTTTTTTATTAATACAAATATTTTTCCTCAAAAAAAATTTTTTTAGAGGTTGCTCAAGATTTTTAAAAATTTCCAAAATCATCAAAAATTTATTTCTTTTTAACTTTTTTTTCTCGTTATTTTATCATTTTGCCTCGAGAAATTTTTTAAGTGTCTCATGATTTATTTCTATTCTTTTGTTCATCACATTCGATAAAAACAAAAATTATTAGTTCGTTGATATTTATTTTTAGAGGTCGCTCGAAAACATAGGTTTGAAAGTTAAAACAATTATAAATGACCTTTAGAAATTAAAATATCGATTTGAAATTTTCAGAATCAATACTTTTTTCAACCCAGAAAATGAAAAAATAACGAGAAAAAAAATTAAATTTTTGACGATTTTGGAAATTTTTAAAAATCTTGAGGGACCTCTAAAAACATTTTTTTGAGCTGATTTTTTGAGAAGGCTCTTAAAACATGATAAACTAACATATTTTCACAAAACACAAAAAAAAAATATATTCCTTTTTTTTGGGCCACCCTAATATTTATATAAAATTAATAACTTTTTATAATTATTCTGCTTATAAAATAATATTTTTTATTAGAAAACTTTCTTGAATATTGTCATAATTGACGCTTTACCAATTCAATAAAGACCTCGATAAAGACATGTTGATAAATCTTACAAAAAATTCGACAAAAAAATGAAACGGCACAAATATCTCCAATACCGTTAGAGATAGGTATAGGAAACCTAACACAGTTTGAAAGAATTTTAAATTTCCTAACTTCCAAAGTAAAAATATACAGGGTGTCCCATTTAAAATAACCAAGTTATTGCTGTTTAAAGTTGAGAAAAGTATCCAGCAGTTTTTTGAACACCCTGTACAATACTAAGTGACGGCAAATATAATAATTTATAACTTCAAGGATCTAAAATACACTCTCCAAAGGTGCTTCATTAAAATTATTTTTTTATTGCTAATATTAAATTAATAAATATAATAATAATATATAAATAATAATAAATTAATTAATATCTCACAAACTATAAGTCCTAGGTATGCAGAACCTTTAATAAAGTTAGCCTTTTTTTTTACGGTGCTTTCAAAAATACAATAAAATATAGGGCGTTCCATTTAAAAAATACATAACTTTGGTATGGTACGCTTTTCCTGGACACCCTGTATATTTCAAAATATTTTTAAAATGTAGTTGTAATCAACCTACAGGCCTACACGTACCTACCAAAATATCTAGGTATAACCGAAAAGTTTGTACTTTTTCATTTAATCGGCACAAGTAAAATAATTTCGAATAGAAATAATCTTTTTTAAAAAAAAACAAGTTTAGAATTTGGGCGATTTTGATAAGAAGGCCAAAAAGTTAAGAGAGATTCTTTTCTATATTAGAAAAATAGAGATAGCAAGATGAAATGTCGGAATTGAAAAATTGGCCCAAATACCTGCAGAATGGGCAAATTACTTGAAGAAAAATATGAATATATGAAGGACCTATTTAAAAAAAAATTCTTCCTACTAATGTCGTTTTTAACCGTTGACTCTTGTATAAAAAACTATTTTATACGTTTTACTATTAATAGCACGTAAATACAGGGACGCCGTTTGCCAAAATTGATGCACAAGAATGCGATTTTGAACGACGGAGAAAGCGTTCTTGCATTTTTTAAGAATAGCGTTATACCCCGTATCTTAGATTCCGTAATATTCACCGAATATTCGTGCGCGAAAGCTGTACAAAATACAAACGGCATGCGGCAAAATATATACAACGGCAGCGACTACTGTTAACTTACTTTGGCGTCCATATCTCCGTAACCGATGTTCTCGTCGTTTTCCCTATAAAAGAACAAAAAGCAAAGATTAGAACGGGAAAGAAGCAGGTGCGGTGCCTAAAGGAGCAGTTAAAAAGAGACGGTGTCCGTACAGGTTAAAATAACACATCACAATCAGAACTCGTACTTTTTTATTTTAACTTAATTTATTACTAAATAAATATATTATTCGACATTTAGAACAACTATACTCTTACAAAACTGCTATCCAACTGTATAAAAGAATATGTTAATGTTTTTTTAATTCCATCTACTTGTAGTTTTACTTGTAAACTACAAATATTGGTTTTTAAGTTAAATTAAAAACTTAAATCACGTATATGTGAGTATTAATAGAAATGATCGTTAGTAACACTTGTGACAGATTATTATTAAGTGCTAAGAGCAAAACAGAAAATTAGAGGACAAATAAGTACATTTCACGTTTTGTTTTACATGAAATTTACAAAACAACAAAACAGCACTTAATATGAAATGTAGTTAGGCTTAAACGTAGAAAAATGCAATATTTACATTTCGATTGTGTTAAACGTGAAGATGTGTTTATAAAGATAAACGGTAATGTTTCTATATCTATTTTTTTTTTAAACATGCAAGTATCCAACAAAAAATGGAAAGTGTTTTACACAGTCGGGCTATCAAGTTTTAAGAGGGCTCTAAAAATAGGGGACCATTTTTATAGATTTTTATTACAGTTTGTGTAAATATGAATTAATGCACAAATAACAGACTTTACCCCATTCTAACGCAGATTTTCTATAAAACGGACTTAATTTGAAGCTCAAATTACTTTTCATTGTAAAGAAATTTGTAATTTGCATCGTAAATTACAAATTTCTTTACAACGAAAAGTAATCTGAGTTTCAAACTAACGCCATTTTACAGAAAATCTGCGTTAGAACGGGGGAAAGCCTGTTATTTGTGCATTAATTCATATTTAGACAAACTGTGTAGTAAAATCTATAAAAATGTATTGCTGGTTGCCTATTCGCTATAGAGCCCTCTTAAGACCGATTTTATTGTGGAGAAGTGTGTGGCGCTATCTATGTGCAGTCAATGGAACTACGTAGTAGTTCCGAATAACCAAACAAAACTTCATCAGTATACGTGTATCTATCACGAAGTTGTAACGTTTTGCGTGAAGCGGATTTTTAATAGCTGTCATGAAAACGTGCAAAAAAGCTTCGAAAACGTGTTACAAACGGTGTGCGGTGAGGAGTGTGTATCACGTCCGACTATGTTCCTGTGATATGGAGGTTTTGTTATGACTGAGACATCGAAATTGTACGATCTGATTGTCGATCAACCAACAGAATGTTGTCAGACAGAGCGCACAGCTTCAATATCTTCATTCGTACGTCTTCTCGTCCTGCTGCACGCCGTCTCGGCCATCACGATACTTCCCGAACCACAGGAACATAGTCCGATATGATACACACTTCTCACCGTACGTTGTTTGTAAAAGAACTTGATTGTTTGTTCAATGTGTGTGTCCCAAGACATCGAAAACTCGCTTCACGCAAAACGTTACAGCTTCGTGGTAGAAACACGTATACTGATGAAATTTTGTTCGGTCGCAGGGAAGGCTTCCCACTATGTAGTTCTGTTGACCGTTCACAGATAGCGCCACTCACTTCGCCACAATAAAATTAGTCCAATACTTAATAGCCGGAATGAGTATTTGTCGCTGTGTGTATATTTGTAATTTTGTGGATATCTAAGGTACGGTATTTTGTTGATATATAATTTTTGGTATATTTCTTCCATAACTAGACATACTAGAGAAAATAGAAACTCTTAATTATACCTATAATTCAGCTTTTGTTATTATAAATATGAATTGAAAAGAAAATATTACTCGTTTCTATTTGTCTTTTGTTTTCTGTCTCATTGAAAACCGCTGAGAATTTTTTCACCCAACTCAAAAAAGATGAATTTTTGAAAAAAAATTGCCTTTTTTTTACAACTTTTTCAAAAATTGAGTTATCAGGACGTTTCTTTTCCAAAATTTTTGTTTTTAAATGTACTTTTTGAAAAAACATAGTCAAAATTATCTGGACCTGTCCTCACTGTTTTTTTTTTGATTTTTTTTAAACAGCTTTTTTGGGAGTGGTTTTTCCGTTTTCTATTTTTTTTAATTGAAATTTTTTTTTTTTTAAATTTAGCATATTTCACACCATTTTGAAAATTTTTAAAAATGTATATAAAATCCCAAAATTGAAAAAATTTATTCTATTTATGACAATTTCAAAAAGTCAAAAGAGGATGGTTTCAAAATGATTTATTTGAGTTCAAATGCATTGCATGCCTTTTTCTAAAGCCCAATGTTCATCCAGAAATGGACCAAATACCTTTTTTAAATTTTCCTTGATGCAGTTTTTGAAAAAAAATACAAAAAAATTATTCAAAACAATCTTCTAATTTTTTCTTAACTTTTTCAAAAATATATCAAAATTTTTTTCATATTTACCATTTTCAATTATTTCTCATATTTTTTTCAATTTTGCAATTCTATATACATTTTCAAAAATTTTCAAAATGGTATGTGAAATAAGCTAAATTTGAAAACATTTTTTTTTTTCAATAAAAAAAATAGAAAATGAAAAAAACCAAAAATTTGAGGATTTATAAAAAATATCAGTTTTTTTACAAGAAAAAGAAAAAAAAAATTCAAAAATGGTAATCATTGAGAAATTTGTTTTTTTTTTGAAAATTGAAAAAGGTTCAGATAATTTTGATCAATATTTTTTCAAAAGTACATTTAATAACAAAAATTTTGAAAAAAAACGTCCCAATAACTCAATTTTTGAAAAAGTTATGGTTATTTTTTAAAAAAAAGCTATTTTTTTCAAAAACTTTTTTTGAGTTGGATGAAAAAATTCTCAGGTTTTCAATGGGGCAGAAAACAGTAAAAAAGTTTCGGCCAAATCGAAAGGGGTCCGGGTTAAAAGTGCCCGAATTGGCGTGGGATGCCTCATATACATAAAACTTTGCGAATGGTCAAATAAATTACTTCAAACATTTTTTTTTTTGTATTTTAGTGGCCATTGGGGAAATAAGGAAAATTGAATTACATAAATATCAACAAACCACAAAATTCCGTGAGTCACGAGTCACGAGCAATTTTAAAAAAATTATAACTATAGCGAACCACAATTCATATTTATAATGTTCTTAGTAACTTTTTGTAGTATTTCATATAAATTTCAAGTAAATTTTAGGAATTATAAACATTTTTTTATATGCCCTTAAAAAAGTCCATATATTCCACTTCAACAAATTTTATAAAAAAAGACCTTTTCCGCCAACACAAAAAATACTAATATAGTATTAACACCCAACAAAATACTAATAAGCGTCTTTCAAAAAATAAATATACAAAAATAAAAATCATCCTAAATAAGAAAACAAGATAAAAAAAACAAGAGCTAAACAGCAAAAGAGTATACAAAAATAGTGCAACAAAAAAACAGTTTTTGTTTATAATTTTGATCCGAATTTTTTTTTTTAATCGAGAATTTTATATTCGTGATAAAATATACTAGAGCTACTATATAGAAAAAAAAATAAAAACGAATTAATTGGATCAGAATATACAGGATGTTTTAGAATTAATAGGCCAAACTTAAAATTTGAATTCACGTGGTCAAAATAATGAAAAATTCCGTTAGATCATAAGAAAATAGTTTAAATTAAATGTAACTTATTTTTTTATTAATTAGAGGATATTAATCGTGATAAAAAATTTACTAACGAACTTTGTAAAAACAAAGGCGAAATAATTGGATCAAAACGAAAAGAATTAGCCAAACTTAAAATTCGAATTCAGATGATCAAATAATAAAAATATGTCCATAAAAGCATCATATTCAAGACACAGGGTGTTGAAATTCAAAGAAAATTTCTCAGCTTCTAAATATCTTTGAAGTACATGTACCGAAATATTTTTAAGAGGGTTCTATAGCAAATAGGCAACCAGAAATACATTTTTATAGATTTTATTACAGTTTATCTAAATATGAATTAATGCACAAATAACAGGCTTTCCTCCATTCTAATGCAGATTTTTTATAAAATGGAGTTAGTTTGAAACTCAAAATTACTTTTCGGTGTAAAGAAATTTGTAATTTACTTATTCAAAAGCGGTAAATTACAAATTTCTTTACAACAAAAAGTAATTCGAGTTTCAAACTAACTCCATTTTATAGAAAATCTACGTTAGAATGGGGGAAAGTCTGTTAATTGTACATTAATTCATATTTAGACAAACTGTGCAATAAAATCTATAAAAATGTGTTGCTGGTTGCCTATTTCCTATAGAACTATTAAGACATTCTCGACATTTCCTCATAGGACTAATTTTTCTTATTTTAGCCTCCAAATTTTACGTTTGGACAATGAAACCCAAAACACCTCGTAGATTTGAAAAAAAAACAAAGTGCAAGCCAGGAACAAGCAATCTGAATAAATTTGTACAGACAGCCGGTCCTGATATCAGTTTTAACACGTTCTAGTGCGTCAACTTTTTTCCTTTCAAACGTTTTCCTTTAAAACCGTCAGAAAATAAAAATAAACCTTAAGTTCCATACACTACGTAAAAGGTAAAAAAATACTTTACACTTATCTTCGACCTGGTCATCAACTACGGCATGGACTTTTTTAACACAGTGGACATTTTTTTACACACAATCTAACCGTTATTTTGTCGTCACAATTCGTCGTTATTTTGTGCAAGATTTGGTGGTGCCAAAACCCATGCAATTTTTACTTGAAAAGTTTGCTAAAGAAATTCATGATAGGATCGCCGCCGCGGGAGGATCTCCCTGGCGGCGGCTGCGGATTGGACGGCGGGTAAGGATACCCGGAATACTGAGTGGGAGGGGGATTCGGGTACGAAGGATTTTGCGGATACTGTGGGTATCCGGGATAAGGACTGTTATAATGGGGCGACGTGGGTTGGTACCCGGGATATCCCGGGTAAGAAGGATACCCCGGGTTAGACGGATAACCTGGAGCGGGATGGTTGGGTTGAGAATAGGGGTATCCCCCGGGACTCTGGGGAGGGGTATTGGTTGGGTAAGGGGGGTGGTAAGGCTGTGGACTTTGAGGTTGAGGATATGAGGGGGCGGTAGGTTCCTCTTCCTCATCATCAACCTCATTGCCGGGATGAGAGCTTATATTATCAGAACTATAACCATCGTACTCCATAATGTTCTCGTGTTCAGTGAACACCCTGAGGAGGAACTCGCCCTCTTCGTTGGGGTCGAAGGTGGAGGGCACTATGCAGTAGGTGCCGGGAGGCAGCTTGAACCGGCAGCTGACCTCACGTAAGTTGATGAAGGTGGGGGATCTGGCCACGGAAGTGTTGAACTTGAAGAACTTCATGTCTAGCGGTTTCGACACTCTGTCTGGATAGGGAAGCTGAAAAAAAAATTATCCGTGTGACAAATTTTCCGAGTACACGTTCTATTTAAAAAGGTTTTAAAATATTAATTAAAGGTATTTTTAACTAATTATATTGTGAGAAACAACTACTCTGTGGGCTACATGCCCTGACCACAATTTAAAAAATACAACAGTCGTGTTTAAATGTGATACAAGCCTGTAACTTCTTTATTTTTTGGTCAATTTCAAAAAATTTTTTTAGAATGTAGAGTAAAAGAATATCTAACTGTGACACTGCTATTTTTATTAATGCAATGCACGGCCAACCAGGATGCGTTTTTTTTTGACGTCAAAACATCTAATTGGTATTAGCGATTTTTTCTCCAAAAAATAGATTACGTATTCTCATTCGGCATCCCTTAAAACGTCTTATCACCAAGTTTTACCAAATTCGATACATTGCTAATACCAATTAGCTGTCGTCAAAAAGTTAGAGTTTTTTTACCCTACATTCTAAAAAAAGATGTTTGAAATCGGCCAAAAAACAAAGAAGTTGCATTAAATTTGATGAAACTACGAATAAGAATATGTAATGTTTTTTGGAAAAAAAATTGCTAACACCAATTAGTTATTTTGACATCAAAAAAACGCGTCCTAGTTGGCCTTGTATTGAATTAATAAAGACAGCAGTATCACAGTTAGTTTTTTTATGCTACATTCTAAAAAATATTCTTGAAATCGGTCAAGAAATAAAGAAGTTACAGGCTTGTACAACATCGAAGGGCAACACCCTGTATATACTTTAGGGGTTACATCTCAACCTCACTCAAAACATGTAGTAGATAAACAATTAAATAGCTAAATCATTCATTTATGGGACGGTAACTAATAAGTGTGAAATTAGCCTATGTCTGGTGATTCTGCTGACGAATGATCTTGACTGTTAGCAGTTATTTTCCTCAATGTCATTAATTAAATTAAAAGTTTTATTTCGTGCAAAACACGTCACGCTTTCAATGTACCGACAGATAAGTAGGTCACTCTCTGCCAGTAGGTACACAACAGTACTTTGGGACAATAAACGTACATAATTAATCAGCGATATTTAAGATACGACATTTAATTTGTAGGTTCTTACGACCTTAAGGGATCTGAGAAATGCATGTGTTATTCTGTGGCAGTTATTTGTCAAGGAAAACATTAAGTAATCGTTTATGACACACAAAGTACACTTTTTAATCATGGTCCTGATGACAAACCTGCGAAAATTTTAAAAATATTTTAGTTCCGAGATATAAATACTGAAAATGATGGCAAATATCTATATATGATATCTTACAGGCAACCAGCAATACATTTTTATAGATTTTATTGCACACTGTTTGTCTAAATACGAATTAATGCACAAATAACAGACTTTCCCCCATTTTAACGCAGAGTTTCTATAAAATGGACTTAGTTTGAAACTAAAATTACTTTTTGGTGTAAAGAAATTTGTAATTTATGATGCAAATAACAATTTTCTTTACAACAAAAAGTGATTTGAGTTTCAAACTAAGTCCATTTCATAGAAAATCTGCATTAAAATGGAGGAAAGTCTGTTATTTGTGCATTAATTCATATTTAGACAAACTGTGTAATAAAATCTATAAAAATAGGCAATATCTAGTAAATCTAGTATCATTGGTCAGTCCAACCCACCAGACATATACCGGTACTGAAGGCCTAGGTACTGAATAGCAGTGATCATTCGTAGATCTATACACTGGTATATGTCTGGTGGTTTCGACCGACAAATGACCCCAGTTTTTACTAGATATTGCTAGTACAATTCAATGCTGGTCTAGATAGGCAGTAGAGTATAAGGTTTTCCGCAATATCGTCAGTTGAAACAAAGTATTGGTTGAAATCCTAGAATTTTCTAAAACGTTGATTTTTGTAGGAACAAATATAAAAGAACTTTTGTTCCTTCAATCTGATTACATCTACATGAAACCAAACTTATGGGTAGAAATACGTCACAGTAAGAAAGCCACTTGGTGGCAAAGTCTCGTACAGTTTATGTATGATAGCATGGTCTTGAGTTACAGAGATTTTCTTTGCTCTGTTCTCATTACCATTTATCAGGGACCACACGCATGCGGAAAATGTTGAGCGACCCAGGTCTCTGGTAGGCTGCCACAGCCATGTCCCCGAACCTGCCTTAGGTCACCCATCCAAATTCCAGCCTGCGTCCGTGATGCTTACCTCGGCAGATCGAAATCCACCGGCCAAGACACCCGGCTAGGCGGTCCCCTATTAATAGGGGAGTTGTAACAAAAAAAAAACTGATTTTAAACTTTCAATCCAAAAAAACAAATTATATGAAATTTTCACTCACATGATAAATGGCATATCCGATGGTAAGTAGATCACCCCCAGTACTTCTAATCTGCCTTCTATTCTTTTGCATCAATGCCACGATCATCGTGCAACCCCCTTCGTCGTCGCCGTCATCCACCTCGGTTAACGTTACACGGTACTGAGGATTATGCCAGAACGAATCTGCAAAAATTTCATTCGTCAGGATTCGGATTTCGTTTATTGTTTTTCACGATTGTTCTCCCCACCGCCGCCCATATTTTTACCTAAGAAGTTCCTGCAACCGCCGGCGGTGACTCCGCGCACCCATTCTCCCTCATAGACGGATATTTCCCACCTCTTTTTTTTCCCCTCCATCAGCTCTTCCTCCGTTAGGGAGTCGGGATTGAGATTGCAGATTTCGAGTCGACTGAAATGCTTTTGGAAATCCTTATATGACATCCAAAATTCACCGTCGTGGTCGAAGGTGAGACCGAGCTCTTCCTTTTCGGATTCCGAGATGAACCGCCATTCGGGCGCCCTGTAAAATAGACGGTATGTTCGATACTACCAACCAGACGCGATTTTTGTCAAGTTCGATTTCTCGAAGACTCTATGTCTTCGGGAAATACGAAAAAGCTACGCCCTGTACATTTTACGCAAACAGTTTTATTACCCGTCGCTCCAGGCCCCGTTCCATTCATTCTCATTTCCCCAAGGGTTCCTGAGCCTCACGAGTGGAATTTTTCCCGTCACATTAGGAGTCTGTATATCTACGTATTGGACTCTGGTTATGCTGTAAGCATGACCTTTAATAAGGCCCTCGGGAGTTTCCGCTTCGAGTATGTTCGGATCGGGCTGGAAAAAACGTTTTAATTAGCGGCTGATTAACATGAAATGAGTGATAAGGACATAAACAATTGGACGTGCGACAGAATTTAATTTAATGAGTTTTTATTAGGGTGCGGCTAGAGAAATTAAATTCGATGCTCCTTCTCCTCCTAGGGGAACGGAGATGCGAACGTGAGGTCTACATTATTTTTAAATAAATGTCAAAAGGCACGAGAGATGAAACGATAAGAGTCAGGTTTTTATAATTCGACAAGGACGGTACTGCCATTTTAAGGTTGTTTCAAGGTCATTTAAAGGTCGTTTCACGGTCAAATTGAAAAAACCCAACAATTAAGATTAACCGCCTGTTATATAGGTTTTTGGGATAGCCGAGTTCGAGTCCAAGGACAGTTGGTTTGCATCAGGTCATTCGAGGGTTATCTCAAGGTCATTTAAAGGTTCAAGAAATCGACCACCGTTCTTGAAGTCTCCGAGTTTGAATCCAAGATCCGTTAAAATGTATCAAATCAGGTTTAAGGTTATTCCAAGGTTGATTCGAGAAAAAAGGCGTTTTCTGGTAGGATTAGTGAGGAGGGATTTTGGACCTCCCCTGTATTTTACCGAATCTTGTTGAAAACTAAAGACTCACCATATTAATCTATATAAACTTCACAAAAACTCAGACATGAACTCAGCAACTCCAAATACGTGTTTATCGGGTGGTTAGACTTAACCGTTAGGCTTTTCTGAATTTGACCTTGAAACGTCCTTGAAATGACCCTCAAATAACCTGAAACAGACAAACTGACCTCGGATTCAAACTCAGCGACCCCAAAATCCTATATAAGATGTGGTCGGACTTGATTGCTCGGCTTTTTCTCAATTTGACCATGATATGACCTTGAAACAACCTTAAAATGGTCTGATACAGACAAACTAACCTCCGATTCGGAATAAGCGACCCAAAAACTCCGAGACCCTTTGATTTAATGCACTATTTCTCAATTCGACCTCTAAGTGACCTTATCCTGACAAGGAAGGAGGGAAGAGGCCCGTTTAGAGTGGAATCGATTAGTTATTGGATATAAATAATAAAAAAAAAATTTTTCTTTGTTTTTGACCCTCCCCCTTTATGTTCCACTGTATAAAATATGTAGAATTGTCGATATTTATGTTTCTATTTCCACTTTCGTGGTATTACATAAATTCTTTATTCAATTTTCATTCGAAACCACGATAAAATGGGAAGAACATCGACTTACCTCAATAGAACATCCCATCAGCGAAGATCTCTCGTAGGCTTTTTCAAGAATCTGGAAGAGATTAGGCGGACCGGCACTCAACTCATACATTTCTGTAACACCGCCGGTGAAATCTTCCATGGCCTCGCACGTGGAACCACCCATAAGCGCTTCGTAAGAACCGTGAAGTCTGTAAGAAAAAAGTTCAGGTGCGTATTAGGTGGATTACCGTTAAGTAAAAGCACTCACTTCGCATAGGCTTTTTCAAGTAAGGCACTCCAAAACTCGTTTTCTTCCGTCGAATGTAAATATATCAATTGACCCCTGTAGGTGGGTAACCTATCGTCTATAACTATATCTAGCCAACGCCCGTACTGCCAAAATCTGTAGGAGAAAATTGGATTGTATCATGTTTCACATTTTGGAAAACGTTTACCTAAAGTGGAATATGCCAGCATATTTATCATCAAACCCTTGGTCGTCAGGTACGATTTGGAAAAACAGACGTCTGTACAAAGTTAAGTTAGCGGCAGCTGCCAAAAGCCAACAGTCACCTAATTCTCCTTGTTGAACGTCAAATCTAGAGTAACCCTCTACAAAAAATTGGGGATTGTCTACAATTTCCTGAAAAAAAACAAAAAAAAATTGATATTTTCCAGCAAATTTCAAATGAAATTCTAAAATTTGATACCAAAACGGAACACGAAATAGAAAATCTTAAAAAAATGTTTGATTGAGTTATGGAAGATTTACTCACGCTTGGTCGTTTCCACTCATAATGTCTATCGGGTCTTTTGCTATAGAAAAGGGAAGAATCTGTGGCTTGGAATTCTCTGTCCTCGAACAGAGTACCTTCCTGGAGACATTGCTCGCGTAGAGCATAGAAGTCTTGCAACTGATCAGTCTTGGCTTGAGTCCCGGAACCTTTTTCACCATACTGCAAGGAAAAATTTGGTTCGTTAGTTCATCGACATCCACATGCACGCAGAGAACATAAGTTCGCATTAAAGTAAGCAGCTAGCAAACATTTTTCATTCTAGTTTAAAACGTAAAAATATATTTGACACATTTATTTTGTACAATAGCACAGCATTTATTGACAGTAAACAAATTTATGTCGATAGTATGTTATGGCAGATAAGGGAAAGGAAAAATTAAACATTATCATCCAATACTAAGCATTTTCCTGTACACTATATGTAAACACCAATGTTATGTATTGATAAATGCTTGCTAAACCGCAAGTCTGTTTGAGATTAGGAAAATGCAATTGATAAGATATGTGTTTTTCCATTATGGGAACAGTAGATTTAGCATTTTATTTTAACTTGAGATTAAATAGTATTGCTGACTTCTTTAGAAACATTCACATCTCTGATTATTAAATAACAACAGTAACAGGCAAATAAGGTGATTCAATTAAGTGCAGTGTAAGCCAGTCTTGAACCAGTCTTTCCCAGACATTTTTAAGTGCAAGTAAAAGTATTGAGCAGTGACTGGTTCTCTCTTAAAGGAAAAACCATAAAATGCTAGAACTAACCATCCCCAAGTACAATTTGTCGAGAAAAATGGAGATAAGCCATTTCATATTTTAAAATTAAAGGCTTATATTAGATTCTAGTACTTATGACAATGCAAGAAAATATAAAATTGAATTTTATTTGAAAAATGAGCTATTTTTCTTTTAAATATAAAATGAGCCTGCAATATATAGTGAATCAAATCGAAAATTCATTTTGTATTTATTATTTAAATGTTTATTTTTAATTTTTAACTTGAGACTATGACCTTTTCAAAATATTTTGGATTTGAGAAAAAATAAACAACTGCCCGTAAATATAGTAATGACAAACCTATTAGTTCAAAAAACAGCCCTTATACCCTTATAGTTTTGCTGTAAATAAGGGTTAACTTTAACGGGCTATAACTCCGAAAATAATGGGCGGATCAACAGGTTTTTTTTAAATACTCGTTTTTCCGAGTAGGTACTTTCAAACCATATTTTAAAATAAAAAAAAATTAACAAAAAACATTAAATTATTGCAATTGTTTATAAGCGTGAAAATTGCGAAAATGTTTAAACAATCACCACGGCTCACCTAATCTTCCGATTTGAATTTTTAAAAAAGCATTTTAAAGCTTGAGAGCTCTTCTCTTTTTGTGGTGAAATTTTCAAGTATTCAAAGGCTTTAGATTTTTAGAAATTTGATTTTGAAAATTTTTTAATTAAAAAAAATTTAAACAATTAGATATGTAAAAACTATCGAACCAAATTGGATGAAATTTAGTGCGATGATTTTATACACTAAGAAGTTTAATTGGGAAAAGTATGAAGATCCTAGGTATTATTCAAGTGTCTGAATAAAATTGACAAATAAACTAGCATTTTTTGCAAGTTTTTAAATGATTTTTCCGATTTTTGCAACAACAATAATTATTTTTTCGAATTGCAACTAACTCTATCTTGTTCAAAATTTAATTACAAAACTTTTTTCCTCTTCCATTTTTGTCTAAAACGAATAGTTGCTAAGTTGTCGACGAGAAATCCAAGAAAAAAATTAAATTTTTTGCTATTTTTTTATACTTTTTGCAATAACAATTAAGCCACGTTTTTTTTATTTGCATAGAAAAATTATCATTTCTGATGTTATTTAGATGCGTTTTACCCAACCCGAAACAGATACCGCCTGGACTATAAACAATTTGTAAAAAAGTAGTACTGCGGCTCGTTTCAAAAATCGTTTTATCTCGAAAACCATTTATTATATAAGAAATATATGAAAAGAGCCTTTTTTTAATGTTATTTTGACTTCCTTGACACGCTCCCGAGAGATTAATAGACTCTCACAAACAACCTGTATTATGATGGACCCCAAATATTACCCAAAACAGTAAATATATAAAAACAATACACGAGTATAGGCATATTTAAAATGTACAAACATTTGTCGGCGCTACATAAAAAAATACTATAACCATGAGAACTTTATCTATTGTAAATATGTTACCTTAAATATTTTGCTAGCGATGGCATTACTCAGAGCACCGCCATATACCGAGTGAACGCTACTCAAGGAACCCTTGAAACCGCTCTCGTCGCCTTTCCGAAAACCCGCCGACACGCCGTTTACCTTCACATCGATAAAGGGGATCTCAATCTCCCTACACACCGCGTTCTCTACACCCTTAACCGAACTTTTCACGTGGTCCTCATCTTCGGCCAGTCGAAAAGTCACCCCGCGCTGGGTGAAGACCGACCGAGGATAGACGCTCTTATTGTACGACCCCCTGTACTCTGAAGGAGCAACAGAGTGCTTGGTGAATTTTGGGAACCTGTAGGTCGCGCGTTCCGATCCCGTGGCGATTCTTTTCACGAAATCCTCCTCCTTCACCACAACGTCGGCCGTTATGGTGTAGCAAGTCGAAGACATTTTAATTCGGGCTTTCGAAAACGAACATCGGACGAAGACCGGATGCGGCTACGAGCGCGTCGAACGTTTGGGGCGAACTGAAATGTCAGTCGGCGTGTTATCAATAAAAGAAATGCCACACGGTGATTAAATACAGGAAGGAAGTCGGCACTGCGATATGGCATTTTTTCCAGCGCTTTTCGCTAATTATAAAACGTTTTCCCGACCTTTTCCACGGCGTTCACATAATCGGAGGGATTATCGATCGATGTGCAACTACCAAAGGTAGCATCTTTACGAGGCCTTTAACCTATTAATTAAATTGATTTTCAACGGGGTCTCTACCTTTCAGATTACCGAAGTTGATTGCACCAAATGTTCAATTTTCTTATGGCCCTAGAGCCATGTAACGTCCAATAATTACAACAACCAACGTCGTGTGGAACATACAAATGCTCGAGTAATATTTAAATCGTAATAATATATGCCGCAGGATATTAGTATTACAGTAATTATAGTAGGTTCATATTCGATGCAAAGTAATAAATCATTGCCTGTCAAGGGATCCAGTGCCATACGCTTTTAAGGGTTTTAGAAATTGATTAATTTCTTTATACATTATGAAGGGATGAAGGGATCAGTTCACGTCTGGCACCCTTGTTCCTACAAAAATTCCTTTATTCTCATAAACTATTTATTTTAAATGTAAAGTAAAGAGACAAAAAAGTTGTATTTTTTATCGCATTATTAGAAAAAAATATTATACCTAAGAAAAAGCAGTGACGTCTCATATGTTTACTTATTAATATCGTCAGAAGACGTCTACCGTTTTTATAAACAAACATACCAAATTTAAAAAAAACGGAATCAGGGTTCTCTCACTCTGTATCTCCGAAACGAAGCATTTTCGGACGGTTTATAGGAACTTTCTTTCTTAATTTTGGTCAAAGAAATTCCCCATGATTTTTTTCGCAATATTAATGGGACACCCTGTATAGTGTCAATATCTAACTAAATTCAATATAGACTTGTCTAGACCTTCCGCTTATAACCTAGAGGCGACTCTAGACAAGTAGACACCCTCTTAAATCTATGAATGCACTTTACCAAAAATATTTTCCACCTCCGTATGTCCAATCTCGACAAAAGCGTTCTATACAAAGGCATAGATGTAGTTCGTTTCTCTAGAATGTTGCCTCTCTTATCGGTCTTCCTTTTGGGCGTTAACTTCACTGCGGGGACGGGTGGAGGCGGGGGCTTCTTTGCACCGCGTCTGTCGGCTTTCGATTTGTCCTCGATCTTCTTAAACTTCGCATTTTGACCTTTATAAGCGAAATTAATATCTTTGTTCTTAATGGCCTCAGTGACTGGCTCTTTACAGACCTTCTCCTCTTTTACGACATCTTGGGAGATCCGGGCCGCTTTGGCCGGCCGGAACTGTACAGGAAGATCTGCCGCTTTCGCCGTTTCCACCACGTGTATCACCGCTACGTTCGTGTCCGGTTTTCCCACATTCTTGCCGAACCTCTTTTCGCAGGTGCATTTCTCTCCCATGCTACAGTGAGGCGGGTAGTTGGGCCTCTTCTCCTGCAAGGCGTCCGGATTTACCTTGAAGTAAACCGGTACCTGCTTTTTCTTGGACATCTGTTCATTTTTATACTTGTCGTAGTATGACTGCGTGGAACGGGGCGTTCCTTTTCTAGGACTCTTCTTGGAATCCTTCATGGGATACTCAAAACAGCTAATAATATCCTTTGGTATGTAAGACGAATACTCAATGGAGTAGAGATCGTTTTTTCTTTTACAGAAAGATGAGCAGTCCCTTAAACCTACGCACGAGTAGCAAGTCCTGTCTAGAAACGCATCCCACATCTCACAATACAATTTCAGAAAAAAATAACAGAACCAGGTCGATCCAAAAAAATATTGACACTTTATGACATTTGCTAGTGTCAAGAGACCTCCACTATAGGCGGTATACAACGAAGTGATACTAACCTACATGCTTTTCAAAGCTTTTTGGCAAGTTTTTAACGTCATCTATTAGACCAGGGCGGATCTGTCGAAATATTCCACTTCTTGGATGTATGTGGGAGCAAGCTAATTTTTTCTGGGTCACATAATAAATGTGTAGATCCCTAGATCTCTGTAATACCTCATCTAGCTAAAATATATGAAACTATCTTAAAAATACAAATAACTAATTATTTTGAAACTCGGGGACTTTTCAATCCTCAACAATTCGGTTTTCGAAGTAATCTATCGACCACACCAGCCATAGATTGTCTAACATCCACAATAAACAATAGTTTTGAAGAAGGAAAATACGTTGCTAGTGAATTTTTAGATTTATTAAGATCATATTTGACTAATAGATTACAGTATGTTGTATATAATAATGTGGAATCATCCATAAAAAATATTGAACATGGAGTTCCACAAGGTTCCATATTGGGTCCGTTACTGTTTTTGATATATATTAATGATTTTCCTAATTGTTTACCTTATGATACTAAAAGTATACTCT